CAGTTAGACCACCCTTTGACTGAAGTACAAATTGAATGCGGCGTGGGAAATATGCATAAAGATCATGGACAATAATTAAAGGAATATTAAGCCATTCTTCCTGCAGAGCGGTCTCTAATTCCGAAAGTCCGGATGGAGGTGGAAATCGGGAACACAGTTTGGACTCCAAATATGCCTATAAATGTTCAATAATATTCATGTCCGAGGACTGAGGGGGGGGGAAAGCAGAGATGTTCAATTTGCATCGTCATGCTCTTCGATCCATTCTTGAATACACCTAGCAGTGTGGATTAGGGACGTTGTTGTTTTGAAAAAGCGGTCGCTCCTCAGGGAATACAATCTGGACAAAAGGATGGATATGATCCCCTAGAATGCTTAGATAGTGATTGGATGTGATCCTTCTATGCAGAATAACAAGTGGCCCAAGATCGTGCCAAGATATCGCACCCCATACCATAATGGCGCCCACCCCATGCTTCACAATTGGCAAGAGACAGTCAGGATGAAATGCTTCTTTGGACATTCTCCAGACATAAATGCGTCTGGTCGTCTGAAATAGGATAAATGGCAATTCATCTGACCATATTACCTGTTGCCACTGCTGTGGGGACCAGCCTTTGTGATCTCTGCACCATCGGCGTCACTTGAAAGCATTAGTTGTTGTCACCAAAGATTTACGAATTGCCACTCTGATATAAATGTTCGCAGCATGAATTTCCCTTTTGACAGTTTTTGTTGAAATGGGGTCCTGGAGATGATTATTAATTTCAGATGTTATCTCGGATAACGATTGCTTGTGCTTTCAGGCTACTTCACGCTTCAAGACCCGTCTCTCCATATCAGCCAGCTTGTTTTCACCAAGGATTTACGAATTGCCACTCTGATATAAATGTTCGCAGCATGAATTTCCCTTTTGACAGTTTTTGTTGAAATGGGGTCCTGGAGATGATTATTAATTTCAGATGTTATCTCGGATAACGATTGCTTGTGCTTTCAGGCTACTTCACGCTTCAAGACCCGTCTCTCCATAGCAGCCAGCTTTGACTTTCAGCCACTGTTGTGCTTTGAAGACATCGTCTTACCCTCTTTCATGCAAGCTGTCATAACGGCTAATACCGTACTCCTTGCACACGCACAAGGTTTGCTGTTTCCGTAACCGATGCTCCAACTCACAGGTGTTTGCATTATTTTGTCCTCCATCTGTAATTCTTATTGGAAAAAAATGTTATTAATTTATGCTATGTCACATGTGATATCCCGTTGAATTTGTTCCCCGCAATGCACTCAAGCTTTAAATAAAAAAAAAAAAAAAAAAGAAAGGTTTCAGATTTTAAATTACGCTGGAGATAAAATTTTTTTTTTTTTTTTCCATACCACGTTGCTATTGCTCGCTTTGAAATCCTTGTCTGACAAAATATGAAACCGATAATAAAACTAATTCCAAATTTGGTCTTCCAGATGCCCATATTTGCAGTGAGATTATGTCACTCAAAATTTGATGGCTCTAGGTACCGTTGTTTTATGAAAATACGAGAAACATACGTACATTTATGCAGATTCTTCATTAATTTCTTCAAATATAATACAGGGCTATAATATTTGGTGGCAACAGTTTGAAAAGTTAAATGGACATTCAGAGTGATTCGACGCAAAACAAAAATAATAGTCCCTCAGGGACACCCCTTTGGACTAAAAATCTGAAAGCTTTCAGATTTTACATGACGCCTAAACGGGCGTTTTTCTGAATGTTTGGTGTGTTACCTTTATTTTTTAAACATCATGTTCTTCACTCTTATACCATAAAATTCAATTCAACAGCAATATCGCAAAATAATTTTAAAATGAGCATATCTTTAGAATTTTTGATACACAGTCTCTGACCCTCCGTACAGTGTTGCCATTGCTCGCTTTGAAATCTCTGAGTTTTTAATAAAAAATTCGTTAATGTGTTACAAAATATGAAATCGACAATATAAAAAATTCCAAATTAGGGCTTCCAGATGCCCATATTTGGATAAAGATGTACATTATTCAAATTTTTATCTTTTTAGGTACAGTCGTTTTATCACAATGCAAGAAACATAGATATATTTATGCAGATTCTTCATTATTTAAATTATTCTTTAAAATATAATACATGGCGATAATATTTGGTGGCAATAATATGAAAAGTGATTAGGTGTTTCTAGTGATTCAACATAAAAAGCCAAAATGAAATTAATAATTCGGCTAAAAATTTCCCTCCGATACTATATATATCAAATATATTTCTTTTAGGTATTAAGGTTGGTCGTCAGAGTGTAAAAACAACACTGAAATCATTTACCCCTGATTATTTTATTGCTTACTTTGTCAAAAAATATCTTGGCTATGTTATTCACTGTCCTCGAATTCACTTTCTGAATAAATCATGAAAGCTATTTTGACATGCAACAGTAATTCATGAACGAGAAATCACAGAACATATAAAATCCCCCCCCCATTCAAGGCAGGAAATTTCACTGTGAATAACGGGAAGAAGGTGGAACTGATTGAGCAATTTTTTAACAACATTTGGACATACAAAATATAATCATGCAATTGAATGACACATTCAAGTAGCTACAAAATCATTTTCAACAGACCAATTGTTTTCTTCGTCACATGACATGCTACGCCGACCGAGAAGGGGTTGAAAACATATTTATACGAAACGTATGAATATTCATACTTATATTTTTATGAGTATTTTATTTCTAACAGATGAAATCACATCACTTTTCTCATATTAAAAATTCCTTACTTTGCTGAAAATTAACATCTACTTCCTAATATTTTAATTTTCACTATTTACAAAACAAATACAACTGTGAACAGAATTCATACTCAAGAAAGAGATTCATTTTCAAAAAATCAAAAGTTACAACTGCACGAATAGAAGTCCTCATACATTATACAGCTTATATCTTTACAGTTGCTGGCCATAGACATGTTACAGAAACAACACTGTTTGAAATAAGACAGATATTCATATTTTGGCATTTCTAAATTAAAAAATCAGTTTTGCAAATTACAAAATCTAATCCAGTAATTATACCTAGTAAAAGATTATGCTCATTCTAAAAAATATAATACTGCAGATATGAAGTTTACAATTTATCAGTATTAGTTTTCATCTGTATGGAAGGCTGTATTAAGGAATTTAGCATACTGGCCACTTAGCTCTGGGTGCTATGCTAATCTATGTCTTTGTCATAATGGCCCCAATAATGTAGTTTGCCTAGGGGGCTTATAATGGGACTGTTGTATAATGTTGTTAAGATGGCATTGCCTATATATCAGTATGTACAAGAACTGTACCTTCGTAGTATACATTATCAGAAAAACTACCCATACATCCACTGTGTCCAGGAAAGTGTTTACCCAAACTCTTATTTTCCCAAACCATTGTCACAGACACAAATTACAAAAATGTTTTAAATGATGCAAGTATTTGTATTTTTAAATAAATAAAAAAAAACAATAATAAAAAATTTATAAAATCAAAAATCTAACCTTTTTATATGGTTCCCAGACCTTATATTTAGGAAAATTTCATACTTATTATAAAAAGCACAATATAAAAAGTTTAAAGTACAACAAAAATTAAATGAAACGGTTTACTTCAAAATTTGTATTATTTGATGTCATTTTCAACTTACCTTGAGGGTTCAGTTAATAACTAAATCAAAATAATTTGAAGTTGATTTGTTTTTCCTTAAATGAAATACGATTGTGACATTTTTGTTATTTACTTTCTAATTCATAATTTTGTTATAAATGGTATGTTTTCAGAATTTTTGCACAAAAAATAAGTTTTGAAACATCTGTGATACATCATAAATATTCTATTTTATTACTTTAGATTAAAAAAAATCGCACAATCATTAAACTAGAAATATATTTAATTCATGTAAATAATGTTATGAACTGGCAATGTGACAATACTGAAACTTACCAGTGTCGTCTTCTACAGTAAGAATTCTGTGAATAAAATCTCTTACAAAAATTATACTGATCAATATTTTCATGATAATATACATAGAAACATTCACCACTTGATCTATTAACATCAGAAATATTTTCCTAGACTAATATTTTACTGTTAATTACATAGACATGTACACTTTGGTCTTGAATTTGTGTACAGCCCATGAATATGATTTCCAACCCTTAGTCAACTATGTTGGTAAATTTTTGTCGTACAAGAGTAACATTTTTTTTTATTGTGCTTCTTATAATAACACTTTCCTATATAGGGCCAGAGAGATTCTACAAAAAATTAATTTCATAAAATGGAATTGTCTTAATTTAGAATATGAAAACATGAATATTTGTTTCTTTTTTTGTAATTGGAAGTATTTATCTCTGAGCAACAGTTTCAAAACAATGCCATGTAAGGACTTCAGTGCATGTGGCATACATATCTTTTACTGGCAGGGAATGTGATAAATAAGCTATGTCCTAGTTGGGATCCCAAATCTAACAAAGGTACACATACTTAAAAAATTAAGGTCACACTGATCACAAGTCTGGGATGGTCCACATGCCTCCATGCCACTGTCTATGTAAATTTCTTAACAAATCTCAGTTACAAATACAAAAGTAGGTGTTTTAAAAACATACCAATTACAAGGGGAAAATTATTACCTTTTCATTATATTTAAGAAAATTGCATAAAAAAGTTCACTGTTGGAAGGGGGTAACTCACATTTGATTAAATAATCTATGCTCTGTGTTCTTTAAGAGTTTAACAAACAGATAAAAGGGTGACTATGATTTTGCCCAAATGAAGATAACATCACAAATGAGATGCTGAATTTTTCAGCAGTTTTCTAATAGTTCAATTAAATTGTACTGCTAGAATAATAATGACTGTTTATAATATTTGAAAATGAACAGAAAAATGTAACGAAACTTATTTCTGAACGTTTGTACATATTATATATTTACTTATCAAAAGGAGGCTTTTAAAAGACAAATCTTCTAAACCACGGAAAACTTTATTAAAAGACAGCATAACACAGAAACAAAAGGCAATGGGATAAATTACAAATTATGTGAAACAAAATTACTAACTCATACATTGATACAAACTGAAATAGATGAAAATTCAAAGTATAATCCATACATTTGAATAAACCACTTTCGGAAAATCCAAAAACCACTTTAGGAAAAAATCTATTTTACAACAAACAGATTTATGCCTTTTCAGTTTTATGCTTAACTCTGTCCAATTGGATTTCTGAATATTCTCTCCAATTAGATTTTAACATGGTCCCCTTAATTCTTCCTCAATAAAGAAAGGAGGTTTCCATATTTCTTCTAGACTAATATAAAAAAGTGTTAAAGGTTGAATTTGAACACAAAATAGTTTTAAAAAAATCTACAATATTCTACATACAATTCATTCACATTTAAACATCAAACAGTTAGAAAACTTTTTTTCTTAAAAATGAACCAAGCACTCTATACATGTTGTACTGACTGTGAAGTGTTTTGCTCAGATACTAATTACTAGCATAACATGAAAAATTACAATTCACAAAGCAAAGATGTATCATATATCTTGTTTAAGAATTATTACAGCTATTTGTCAGTATATAGAATGGAATAAATAAAAATGCTTTACGCTGTATCGATATGTGAGATATTTCCTTAAAAATGATTGTTGTTCTGATGATGCAACATGTTTTTATTATAAAAAGTGATGGTTATATATACAAAAATATAATAAGACAAACTTTCCATAGACAGACAGTAAACCAAAACAGCTATCAACTTTGTAAAAAATTGGAGGGGAAAAAATACTTGTTCAGACATGAGCAAACAACACTTCACAAGACGATATTACGAAAAATCTGATGGCAGTAGTAGCTTTGTTGTAAAAAGACACCATTTTTTTTATTATTATTATTCACTGTAAAACTATCATTAAATATTTTATGTCCTTTATTAGAACATTAGTAAGGCAACAGAGGTGGGCAGGTTTATGAGTCAAAATAAAACAAAAGAAAAAAAATCGGCAGTACTTTAGAACTTCATGTTCTTGCATCAAACTATATACAAATACAAACCTTACTCCATATCATAAAGCTAAAAGAATGTGTGCAAAAATTTATTGGCATTCAATGGTTATAACAGCCTTGGTGAGAAACACACGGCTACCAATCTTCTCATGAATTTTTCGATGACAAATATTTAATCTGTTTACTATTTTCAGTTTTCCACTGATGAAAAAAAAGATGCTACAAATATTCTTTCCCAACAGAACAATATTTTACCGTTCAAAAGAATTTGTTGAAATGTACATAATACAATATGTTGGTAAAAAGACTATCTTGTGGTTGCCATTTGAAGTAGTTCTGTGTTACATGTGCATGTTGTAGTAATTCTGAGTACTTATGTATTCTTTTGTGTATAAGCCTCACATTTTTTCCCCAAACAAGCAGATGAAAATCAGGTGCAGCTTATACATACAAATGATTAAAAATAGTTACATATAAACAAGTAGCAATACAGTACTGAGTATTTAACAATTAAGTATAAAATCCCCTGTTGTTGAGTGAACATTATACAGGATTGTACAAGTTTAGCTGTGGTTGCAGACTGCTTGAAGAAAAACTGATTGAACTATAATGCAAATTTTAAACTGCAAGTTATCTGATTCTCTGAGGAAAATGGGAACCAAGCTGATATTGACTTAATGGTATATGAATGAAAAAAGAAGTTCAAGTTATGCTGTAACCGTTGAAATGATATACTCCCAGGCTTATGAATAAACTGATTTGATGAAGATCAGACATTTTAGAGCAAGTGCAGGATGTTGTGCACATTTTATCCTTAGGAATGGTTTGTCACTACATCATAGGACAACAGCTGTACAACGACAGTGAATAAGAAAAGCTAAATGCAAAAAGATGGTGAATAAGAGGTGCTAAGCATAAAAACATTTTCCTATTGATTGATAATAAAACTTTTGCCTCGGTGTGTGGTAAGTAGCATTTTCATTCTAGATGCACCTCCAAACCATGAAAAATATTGTATATTGTAAATACATCATCTGCAGCTTATCCTCGAGAATTTAACTTGGAGGTAAAACATAGGCTGCAGCTTAGATACACACACACATAGTTTATGCATGCAGTAAGTTCCTACATGTTGCTTAATTTCATCCTAGGTGACATGACTGCCTTTATTCAGGCAGGACATTTCGTGTACGTTACTTTATTATTTAAAATAATTAATTTTCATATTCACTTTAACAACCTAAATATTATCTAAATGAATGAAAATTTATAAAATAGAGACTATAATAACTAATTATACAAATTTAGTCCCACTCCAAAATGCCATTCAAATACAATTTCTCATAAGCTGGTGCAAAAAAGAAATGCTTCTTAGGGGGTAAATGACTGGCTTACAAAATTGTATTAAATTACGAAGTTATATCAACAACTATATGCTCAACATATAAAAATGTGCCAATTCCTGTTTTTCAACAATGCGGCTATAACCAACAAATACCATTTATTATTTACACAACATGAAAATATGTATTTAAAATATTAATCACAACATAAAAATTTCACCAAATAACTCAGATATAAATTTTTAAATTTACCCATCTGTCATAAGAGTAATAATGTCATGTAACAAATAAAAACATTTTTTAAAACATAGGGAAAAACCTCATTTTTAATAAGCCCTTCACATTATTAAAAATGATATATAAACAATATAAGCATCTCAAATGGAATCTTTGGCAGTGATATACAATTTTATCTTGCAAAACTTTAAGAAACACATTACTAAGAAAAGTTAAATCAAGATGGAACGATATTATTAATTGATTACTTTTTTAAAATCATCTTTTTTGCTTTTACAGTTTTGACGAATATATACATCTCATGCACAAACATTTAAAAATTTCAAACAGCGTTTCTCTCAGATATATTTTTTATGACACTATAAATTTACATTCAGAAGTGAAATGCACAGTGTAAATTGGCTACTGTCAATTTCTCTGTGTGTGTGTGTATGGGAGGGGATTTTGCAACAAAAATTACCAAGATTTTTTTTGGTGATGCAATAAAAAAAAAATGCAGTGTACAGGTTAAAACTGTGCACCACTAACATGCACTTGCTTAAAATAAATATTTTATGATACAATAATTACATAAAATTGGCTAATAATTGTCAATTTTTGATGACAGATGCCAATTATGTTTTGCAAAAGTTTTGAGAAAATTATAAACAAGTTAACCGATTCGAACAACTCTATCTACGTATCTTAGAGTATTTTATGTTAATAGAATGGCAATGCCATTATAAAATCATACACACAAGGAAATAACACACTGATAATCATACTTACAAGTTTGATATACAAAATATATCGCAGATATTTTACAGAAAGAATAATTAAACAAAAATACACGCTAATATTTCAAATTTGCCAGATATTAATTTTTTTAAGCATATACAATAATGAAATGATACTTTCAGCTTAAAAAATCAACTGTCCAAATCAAACAGCAGAAGTTTTCTTAAATATCACTATAGCAAGAAAACTTTTCTTCAATTAATAAAACATTTTTTTTTTGGTAAATAAAACAAACACATTAAATACAAAATCAAAAACTAATGTCTTTATTAAAAAAATGCCTTCACTTGTTTCATACAAGGAACTATTTAGTTATCATACCAATTTCATTTCATAACAAATAAGCTATCCAGGCAACACTAATCAAGTGCCAAGAATTATAAATAAGAATGGCATTAATTTATTTACACGTAAAAGCCATGCCTATATAGGATTTTATGACTCACATACTCACTAACATTACAATAATTTTTCCATATTTTTTTCTACGTAGTTTCCAACCAAATAACGTATTTTCAAATTATTAAAAATACAATACAAGGTCTGAGATCTCACGATTCCAAATTTTAGATCAATTTAAATCTACTAAAATGGCATGTGCATATGGTAACATTAAGGCTTCACTTATTGTTTTGATCAGATAGAGGAATGCTAACCTCACAACAGAGTTGACATTGCCAAGTGGCAGCATTTGTGGGGATAATTTTACAATTTAGAGGAGTACAGAGCAATCAATAAGTCAGTGATCACAAAATTTTTAGAATTTACAGACGTACTGGGCAGCAGAATTTAGATTACACCGGATGACAAAATAATCCTAGCCGATATCAACCAAATATATTTTTAATGGCTATGGTGCGTCTCCCTAGCCAGCAGGTATTTGAAAGTGATTTGCAGGAATCTCAGATGGGAGGGGGGGGAAATTGCATTTATGGCATACGTTTCCCCCCTTTTTAGTATCATATTCCCTATTCCTAGATTCATAATTTTATTTGGCTGCTGGTAGAATCCAGATTTTTGACTTTGTACTGTAATAATAATATTCAATTTTTCAAAATGTAATCATAGCTTCATTCTTGCCACAAAACAAATTCAGAAACTAATATTGTACGATGTGGAGGAAAAAAGAAAGGTGTAGGGGAGAGTTAAATTTTACTATTATGATGATCCTTTTCTTTCATACGAATATTTTGTGAATTCTTGCTCATACAGACTGTGACACAAACGCTACAGTTCCAGCTTCAAGATTACAGTTGAGAGGAGCAGTCAGCTTCTTGATGTAACAATTCTTCAACTTAGCTGGCAGTTATAAAGTTCATAAGCCACACTTACAGATTAATTCCATTACACATTGAAAGAACTGTGGTAGAACAGTTAATAACTCAGTGTACTATGATGACCAAGATAGGCCATTTTTATTTTCAATTTCATCTCTAATCTGGTTAAGTTGATGCATTGTGTGATAAACAACAGATGCACTGATTAAACCATAGTCAAAAAGGTTGCACAAGTGAAGTAGGAAATTTCTATATAACCTCTTGCTCAGAATATTTTTACCATGCTCTTCAATAAACATCGAACATGCTAATGGTATCTGGCAATCTCCAACGAACCTAAAAATAGGGAGAAAAAAAGGACCAGATTTAAGTGCAAGTATTTTAAGATAATAAAAACACTGTAGAATGAAAGAAAAAATTTAAAAAAATTATTCCATTAATAATAAATGCTGAATAAAATAGAGATTTCATAATAATGATTCATAACTCAGAAGCCAGCAACTTTACGAAGATGCAATGACTGCTGTTTAAAATATCAGAAACCTTTATAAAGATGTTCCAATATAAAGCAGGGTAATTGTCATCCCATTTCATTAATCCTGAAAATTACTATGGTGTAAAAATCCAGCACGATTTCAAATAATTCAGAATATTAATGTGATACATACAGTTATACACAAATATTATTTTATTATAATTAGATTTTTACTACATTATATCCCAGTTGCCAATTTCTTTGGTTTCTCAACATCTTTGCAAATAATTGTAAAGTTTAGCTTCCCTTTTTTTGGGGGGGTGGGGGAGGAGGAGGCTTGATTTGACTTGGTTTGATGACTTTTGATGCAGATAGAGGCCTTTCACTTAAACCTTTAGGTACAGTCAAAAGTCGTTAATTTGGACACCCATAATCCGGACCTCAAAGCTACAAACTTTCTGCACATGCGTCTCTGTAGTCTCTGACGTAGGTGTTTACGTGTGTGCGTAAGACCTTTGCGGCTGCGAATATGCGTGTGCGCATAAAACGTTTACGCATGCGCGTTTAATGTATAACGGACGGTATAAGCTAAGCTAAAATTATCTAATTCAGTTAATGTTGCAGATTGCGTTGTTCCTTAATCTTCGAATTGGATCCGGCTTATTATTTTTCGCAGACTGTTAGAGCAATTTTATAAAAGTAAGCTTGAACTTTCAATTATATCAAATAGAATTTCTGATATATATTTGCTAATATGTAAAGGATCTAAAGCAAAAGAATGTTTCGAAATCTGAAATCTGTTTATCAATTTCACGCTGCTCGGCGGGGGGAACGCCGCGACGCGCAATGAATTGGAAGTTGATCTGTCAGCACTATCCTTATCTTCAAGGCAGATGTTTTTATTTTATTTGGCTTATAATTCCTTACTAAATGTAGTATTTCATCTCGATGTACTCCGTCTTTGATATGATTTAAAACAAGTTCCTCGTAATTATAATTCGCTTCCGATAGTGAAGAAAGTAACAGAGGTTATTGAAAACGAAAAAATTTCGATTGACAAATTAGTTGGTATTCTCGACATAGCAATTATAGGACTTGAACAGCGGAACTTTGTAAGTGAACAAGAAATTATGTCTGTTTATAGAATTAAAAGAGAAAGTATTATCACATAAAACGAAGCAACTTAAACAACTTACATTGAAGAAATGTTTAATAAAGTAATTAAATAAATATTAAGCTTTTTCTTTTTGTAAATTTTGATACCCTTTAGATCATAATTGTTCTTTATTTCATAAATTACGGTTTCATATTTTTAATTTCGTAATTTCTGCATGCCATCTTACCAGATTTAAATTGATGATCTATAATCCGGAATCGCCGAAGTCCCGACGAGTCCAGATTAACGACTTTTGACTGTATTAGGTTCTAGCACATCTGGTGTTCTCAGCATAGATTAACTGCTATTTATAAGCACATGCTATACACTGTAACAATGGATGTGCCCTCATACAGCCTGATTTCAGCAGTTTGTGTATAAAACCAGGTAGAGAAAAGAGCCGAAGATATTGCACTGGATTTCATAATGTGCTAGATTAAGTAGTTAAAAGGTATAAAGAAACACAGTGTCACTTTAGTGAACTAAGAAGATGGTTCTCAAGCCAAATTACAGCTATCAAAACATTCTTTCTTCATAAAATTTGTTACCCAAATAAAATGATATTGGCACTGCATGTCACTCAGGATGAATTGCCAAAAATAACAGCGATATCAGAAACCAGTTGCTTGATGGTTGTATTTTTTAATAATATCCTTAGCCACTAATAAGTATTTTATTGGCTTTAATGGTTCTTTTTTTTAGTCTATTCCTTTTTTAATCTTGCCAAACTTAGTTTCCTTTTCATCTGCAGCATTTTTTAATACACAGCTAATTTACTAAAAGCTACAATAGTTATGATTTTCGGCATCCTACTTTTTTTTTTTTTTTTTTTTTTTTTTTTTTACAGCTGGGATTTAATAGCTGTTGTTACATGGAGGTAACCCACAAATATTTTGGTCATTTAAATATGAACTGAGACTAAGACAACAGAATAACATTGCATTTTAATAGTTTTAAAAATGATATACAATTTAAGTTAACAATAGTTTTCAATTACCCTAAGGCTAGCTTCAACCTTTCCTTTTTCAAGAACTGCATAAAATATTTTTTTCTTTCTTCAGAAAAGTAAACATTGAAAAGCACCGAAAATATATCAATTTTGTGTCTGCTCGATATGGGGGGGGGAACTACTTCTTGGTTTTGTGCTACACATAGCATTCAGCTCAAATTTTGATTTTAACTGCATAGAAGCTCAGGGTTTTCAGAAACACGATTTGAAGGACACTAGCCTAAGGCAATTACATATAACTACAACTTTCTCAATACACAGAAAAATATATACATTTATATATACTCACCCATATTTCATAATGTGAAGATTCCACATCTTCATTAATTCTTTTTCACCTTCATTAACATCCGTAAATTCATCAATCATCTAAATAATTTAAAAAAAAAAAAAATTCAGTAAAGAGATTCCATTGAAATTTGATGCAAACAGTTTCAATGAGTGCACACAGTCTCATTTTTAAAACAGAAGGAAAAAAAAGTATTAAATGCAGTCAAAGTACAATGAATGGGAAGAAAACTTACATGCTGTGTTTTGATTCGTAGCCATTCGGGATCATTCTCGGATTCACTGTCTATATCTATTTCCTGTGGTCTCACAGAGAGGCAGGTTACGGTGTGATAGTACAGGCTATGCATAAAAGAAAAAGAGGAGTAATTAAACTGATATAAAAAGCTTAACTCTATTATAACTATTACTGAACAAAGCTGTTAAAATTTAAACAAATAAGAAATAAAATAATTGAACGTGACATAATAATTATTATTTTCTAAAATTTAAAAAATTCAAAATTTGCAGTAACTAGTTTACTGCAATAATAGCTTGATATGTCTTGAACAATTAGGCTTGAGGATTTGGATTTATCAAATTATGGCAAAGAAGGCCATGCATTTAAGCTCTTTCAGGATGGGGATGTCACACATGTATGGGTTGTCAACGTATCTCATAGCCAGGTATGTCATATATGAATTGTTGTTTAAACTGACTCAGGATGGGTCTACTACATACGAATTTTTTAGAGAGAATGTTTAATTAGTATTTTTTGTTGATACTAGATATGACCTATGTCTGTTATGGAGCAATTTATCAAGAATGGAGAACGTTGATCTTCACTCTGTTGCAGCATTTTTTATTTTGAGTATTTTATTTTGGAAAGAAAGCAGAAATCATGGGGATAAGCAATTTAAAAAAACAGCGCTGGCTATTAACAGCATCAGCTGATATAAACCCAAGAGGCTGTTTCCAAAGCTTCTTCTATTTTATTCACTCCTCTTGATAGTTAGTGCTGAAGGGAATATTGTGCGTATCATTCATCAAAACATATTTTATATTTCAAATGGCAAAGAAAATATAATGACATAAAAATTAATTCTAACAAATGTTGCAGTGTTGCTCTCATAATGTGTCAAAAAACTGGAACCAATGGACCCCATATTTAATTTATGCAAATTTTTCCCCAAAATTAAGCTTAGCAGCTCAAATTGCTCGGCCCGGCCCTACAAGACAGCACATCCTGCTAGCCCGGTCTCCAGAGAGAGCAGTCTAGCGACTGAGGTGCCTATCACAAAAGACTTAAAGGAAGAGAAGCTACAAAAGTATTCATGCAGCCAGCTTGTTTTTCACAAGGGATGTAAAACTATGCAGGCGTTAACATACCAGTTCCACAAATTATCGATTATATTTAATCTCTAAATGAAATTAGCTTAAAATTACCAGATTTTTTTACATCTGAAGCAAAGAAAATTAAACAAACAATGGTATTAGAAATCATGTGGAAGCTTCTTTCAAAGTATAATAATACATTAGTTACAACTTCTGTTTTGGCACAATGCTGCCATAGCCTTGAGTCTGGTTTTGATTTCTGGAGAAGGTATGGATGTTTGTGAATAACATGGAGTCTTTGTGACTTAAGGGCACTTGACACTCTGAGAACAGACCAAGAGGTAACTCATATTTTCAATAATATCTTTAAATACCACTTGTTTTGATAAATTGTACCTACTTTGTTTAGGTGTTTGTATCAGTAGTCAGTATATTAATACTCTCAGTGGCACAGCATTTTAAACTTGCTCATGAAGACCTATATTTAAATGGCTTTTATTAACTAAATTTGTATAAATACTTAGTCTCTTTTCTTTTTCATAAACTTTCATTCATTAAGATGATACTTAGATTATTAAAGAAATTGAAAAAGCAAAAATATATATGTAAAATATTAAAAAAAATATGATGGCTTTGCTCTTTGCGAACCAGCAACCTTTAATTAATTTTCTGCAATTCAGGATCGTCCCCTAACCCAGTACCTTCTAGAACATTTGCACCTATTACATAACCTCCTCATATAAATGCTGCGTCATAAGTTCTCCTACACAGATGCCTTCTCCCTGCTAATGCTTCCGCTATGCTCTTCTTTGTTAGAACGTATTAAAGTTTAAAGTCATTTAGTATCTAATAATTCAATTACTGAATAAGTTATTTGATTAACTCCATCTGGAAAAAGTCATCTGCTCTAAATTAAAATAAAGATATGCTTGCTGTTAAAAGTGAAAAGTCCTGAGTCGTCATCTTTCTCCGTCCTTCAATCATTCCAGCTTTGTCAACCATCTACCAGAACGTGTAATGGAATAGTCTCACCATTCGTCCACGAGGTGTTGGAATAACTGAAAACATTACATATATACCAAGTAACAAAAAACTCTAAACCAGATAAATACGGTCATGCCACTGAGTGGGTTAAACTTGATAATCTTAATGCTTATTTATCAGTTTTGATTGCATATTAATAATTAAAATATTTGCTATCTTTATCTCCAAGTTCCTCATGCTTTTAGAAACACACGGAAATGAACGAAACTGAAATAGTGTCGAAAGTTTTTGACAATAATTTATCAGATGATCTTACTGAGAATAAAATGTGAATGATGAATATGAATGGACATTTTGACGGCTAAGAGGATGATTCTACGGTGACTTTATTAGACTTGTTCTGAGTCATACAAAGAATTAAATTGAGAAGTAAAACTTTTTATTTAAAACTTTTTATATAAAGTATTTTAAGAAATCACCAGGAGAATTTAACACTTATATACTCTTACTACAGTCTTTTTTTATTCTGTTCAAACTTTTGAATGAAATTTATGAATGTCATATAAATTTTTATTACTGTGACATAAATAAGGAAAAATTTTCTCACCGAGTAAAAAAAAATATTTTAAAGTTCCCCCCTCTTTAATGCTGGACAAAATTAAAAGGAAATGGAAGGATAGGCTTTTTGAATTCTGCAGTTTTATTCTAAAATGCAATTTTCTGAACTAAAAATTTTCTATATTACTATGAACACTCTTCAAAATTGCTGTTAAGTGCTGCTAATTGTGAGCAAAGTTTTCAAATAAAAATCGTTTGAAATATTAACAAACTACAAATGTTTATTTTGCATTTAAGAAATCTTCTACACTGACAACATAATACCAACTGTAGCAATAAAGACCTCTACACTGTCATTGATAGTTCTGGGGGGAAAAACAAAAAACAAGTATGTTATAATATAAAATGCTGAAATTAGGTTTTCTTAAAAAAAAAAAAAAAAAAAAAAAATAATAATAATAATAATAAAAAAACATAGTTTTAATTTGCTTCTGTATATGTCACTTTGACAATTTTTTTGGTTATTTGTTTATATATCATTAGGTGAAGCATATTCAGAAACATCTCCAGGTGACAAACTCATGGACTGCCTGGGCAGCAAAAGCTCCAGCTATGGTAGTTATGCTGCTGGTGCTAGGTAGTAGTGTCTTCAAGTGATTTTGATGAAGGTGACTCTGTTCTATAGTAAATGATTTGTATAGTCATAATGATGACAATTGTCGTTCTAAAATGGTGCTTAAAAATATTTCAATGTCATTTGGGGTCACGCAATTTCCATCTCATTGCGAATCTGGTCGTCTTTGTGAATTTCTGCACACTGTTCAGTCTTACCAAAATTATATTCATAAAAAGTAGTAATTTTACGCATGCACTGCAAATTATTGTGTCGTAATGTGAAATAATATTTCGCATTCAAACACTGAAAGATTAAAAAAAGGGGGCTGCAGGAAATGTATACAGACACTGGGGTAAGTTGGGAAAAATGTGTGGTCTTAAAGGTGTTAAAATACTACCGTGTCAAAAGTCCTCTCGAGAGGTCAGCAGAGGGAAAGAGGGGTAGATCTATCTCTACATGGGATTCTCCTTCAAAACTGGAACACAGCTGGGAAAATTTACACGACTGAGCTACTAAGGCCTCAGCTAACACCAGACGCAACCTTTGCTTTTTGGCCATAAGAAAATTCACGGATTTTAATCTGATGTTACTATCAAACAATTTAGTTAAGTTACAATACATATACTACTAATTACTGATCTAACAGCAATGTCTTTATGCTTCTCATTACCAACAATACAATTTAGCAAAATATCTGCCATGTGACCAGCATTTTCACTGTTATTTATAAATATCAGATTGTAATTTATTTCTTAAAATGCTTTCACATAAATATAAAGGAATGAAATTTCTTTTATAAATTTTATATTATTACATGGCAAGAAAAACCTGCATATAAATAGAAAAATCTGAAAATGAAAGTAAGAAATCAATTATTATTATATAAAATAAATAAAACTAAAAAACATTTCCTCTATAACAGCAATGATATTCTTTAACAAATATTCATTATAAATAATGAATTAATAATAACATACTTATTAATAAATATTATTTTCTTTTCAACAATAATGCCATTAGGAGGCAGTTTACATATGTCAGTTTAAAGACAATAGGAAGCAATTACAATAAAGCAGTTAGAAATCTTAGTTTTTTTTTAAGTGATATAAATAACAAAAGTCGAAGAACTCCCACTACAAACTATTAATTCTCCACACCAGATATAAGTTTTTAATAAATTTTTTTGAGAAAATCAACACGTATTTAAATTATACAAAGTACAACTTGGGCCATATTTTTAAATCTACCAATACTAGAATTTCAGAGATGCACCATACAAACAAGTCCTAAAACACGACAAATTCAGATAGACAAAAGCCCTTGAACCTGCTGCGTAACATCCTGCGTTTTTATTACAAATCAGGTTTCTGCATTTACAATAATTCATATATAAATATCTGTGTTATGCTAAATATAACATTGGAGTTTTTATATTTCTGGCTAATTTCATATAAAAATAATTTTGTTTTTTTGAAAATCCATAAAAATGATAATAAATATTTCATGGAAATTGATGATAGAAAAATTAATTCTACTTGCTTAAATATCAATATTGTTACGGATTTTGTATTTATTTAGCTATGTTTAGTAGAATTAATTGTTTTATATCCTCGTGCAATGCAGCACGAGACTTATTTGAAGAGAAAAGCTATGCCGGAAAAGTTAAAATGCAGGAGCCCGCACATTTAATACATAGATATCTCATAATTGTACTCTTTGCTTTCCAGAAAACTTGAGAAATTACGAGAAGCTTCTCGTGTTTGATTTAAAAGCTTATAAAAGCTGGAGGAAAACATTTCAATTCAGTGGTTTACTTAATCCTTGTGGTTTATTGCAGCGAATTCACGGTGAGATCGCATTAGCTTTCTCTGTTTTGAATTGAGTTCTGTGAAACATTTTAGTAGTTTAAAATATAATTACTGCGAGATATTGCAATATTGTACGAATATCTCTGAGGAAATTTCAGTATTTTGTATTATTTCTTGGAATAAGAATTAATTTTGTTAATTTTTTATCGATTTGTACATTCAATCCATTACGATTATTAAATTAGCATATTTACCGATTGTGACCAGAAATATATGAACGAGGACCATCGGCATCGGTGTCGTCTGGTTCCAAAAATTCGGATAAACTAGGTGCTGGCCTTTTAGGTCTACAATTTGTAAAGACAACTGTTAATAAATTTTCATGTGGCAAGTTTTCAAATATGCATAGAAAAATACACATAATATATTTACCGACAGACAATGACATGTGTAACTGGATTTCGCCTCGCAGGTCCAGTTCTACTAAATGCAAAACCTGTAGAGTGCAAGTCATTTGGATTTCCTACATAAGAGCCGTCATAGGATTCATTAATAGATACATCGATGCGAGCACCTTTGGGATGTGGCTAGAATAACAGTAAAAAATTATCATATATATAACAGAATTTCAGATACTTAGATAAAAGTGTATGGTTATAAACCAGTATCTGTGATTTAGAGGGAGAAGACAGCATAAATTTCATTATTTGTGTAAAGCAAAGTGATAACAATCAGTTACATACCATATTTTCTCACAAAGTCCCCTACTACATAACCTTTAACTTGAGGTTTTAGAAATTAAAATATATATTTATATTAGCCTTCGTCAGTGTTTTCAGAGAACGAACTCAACTAAATTTAAAAATGGATTCATCTATAGTGATTGTTTTCTTCTTACTAATAAAGACAAACTCTCACAAAATATCAGTGAAGTTCAAATCGAACCTTTCCCTTCTAACAGTTGAACTTATCTCCCCTAATACGAGAACTAACATTCAGTTTATGAATTTGTTGATTTGGCTTCTTCAATTGTTTATGGATGGTTTGAAGCTTAAAGAGTAACAAAGACTACAATACAAATGAGCAAGATTCATGTTACAAGGAAGTATAAATGAAGATGTTAGATATTGCATTATTATTACGTATTCTTATTATAATGTACATTTCTTTTAAAGAAATAATATTGTGATAATTACCTGTAGTTAATGAATGAACTATTTTTTATTATGTTCTTCGGAAACAATATTATTCGCTTAATTTTTCCTTCTCAATACCTGGACAATAAAGATTAGGGGAAAAAAAGATGGGGAGAAAATACAATAGTTGAAATACACTAATTCAAATATACCCAATACTGCCTTCTTAATACCCTCCCAATCTTTTGGGTCTATGTAACTAATACAAATTAAGGAAACACTTATTGTGGAACAATAAAGAACATTCTACATCACAGAAAACCTTTCAAACTCTGAACTCATACTTCAACTTCATGATTATAAGTATACTGGAAGGTCACAATGGCTATCTGTGCGAATTACAGCAGCTCTTCCAAGCTCTGCTTAATATAGGTACCTCAGAATTTGAGATGCACAAATTATTTGCTCAGAAAATAGATAATCAATTTTCATCATCCCTCGAAATAGTATGGTCTCAAACTCAAACTGCATGTGAGCTATTACAGTTTATGTAGCTGGCGACGAGAATGCACAGCTTTTTTACTTTTAGCTTGTTATATTTTTCTTACCACATTGCAGATTTTTGAGATAGATGTAGTGGCAACAAGAAAAACATGATGAACGTTCTAATGTAAGCATACAATTGTTGTACATAGCTGTAAATAAAGCTTCTGTGTGATAAAAATGAAAAGGAATTCCAAGCATTCCTGTGGATATTCATCAAGAAAGGTAAGCAAAATTTCACTTATCAAATGTTGTTAAAAGAAAAAAATAAGAAAATACAAATAAGAAAAAAGATCATAAATTGCAACATTGTGCTGAAATTCCGAGATAACAGTGATCTTTAGATATATTATGATTTAAGTATTTATTATTGTTCAATTAGTGATTAATATTGATTATTAAGATGGATAAGTTAAAAGTACTAAAAAAGAAGCATGGAATGCTAAGAGCATCAGTAACAAGACTGATAGCTAAAATGGAAAAGAAAATAGAATCGGATAATATTAAATTTGATTTATTACAAGATGATTTATCCATCTTAAATGAAAATGAAAACGATATACTAATATTCAATACTGAAATCGAATCTATCATAACAGATGAAAAATAGTATGAAACTGGAATACAGGATAGCTTGGAATATAAAAATAAAATTGTGCAAATCAAAGATCAATAGAATATTTAGAAATAGAAAATGTGTTAAATTAAATGAGATGCCATCTAATTCTTCTACTATAGATATGGTAGAGAACACAAATACAAATGGCGCTAAACTTCCGAAACTAACCATAAATAAATTTAAAGGCAAAATATCTAAATTTTAAAGTTTTTGGGCTCAATACGAATCTGCTATGCATAATAACTCTGCTTTAAAGGATGTAGACAAATTTAATTACCTCACATCTTTACTAACAGACACAGCTTTAATGTCAATAAAGGGATTACCGTTAGTTGCCGAAAATTATGCTAAGGCAATAAATATTCTGAAAGAAAGGTTTGGTAGAAAAAACATTTTAATAAACGCACATATGGATCGTCTGGAAAAAAAAAAAAAAAAAAAAAAAAAGGGAGATGATATTAAAACATTACATAATTTATGATAGCTTCGAAATTGAAATTAGAAGCCTTGATTCCCTTAATGTTACTTCGAATTCTTACACCTATTTGTTATGCCCATAGTTAATGAGAATACTTTCTAGCGAATTAGTTTTAAGAGTTTAATCGATCATTAACCCCTGACACAGAAACCACAGTGATTAACATTTTGGAATTTTTGAAAAAGGAAGTTGAAAGCAGAGAGCAGTTGGGCATACACCGTGCCCTCATCATGCAGGATAGTGTAACTAACTAAATGAATGCATTGAAACATGGAAAATTAGGATTTAAAAAGTATAAATTTTAGCCTTTTTGAGTTAGTTACATAACCAATTTTAAATGAAGGTAAAATAAAAATAATAGGCAATATGTTCTTATCAGTAGAGGTGAAAACGCCAATCCTCGGAGTATGAAAGCTGTAGTAGATGTAAGCAAAAACTTTCACTCTTGTGCCGCATTAAAATCCGATAGTTCAGAAATACCTTGTCTTTCATATGCCGCCAAAACAAGTATGACAAAAGGGAGGTTTACTTCATGTTATGAACATTTTTCCAAACATTGCCAAACTATTCCGAGTTTAACATCAGAACCGAACAACATAAACATCAATCGCGAGACCTTATTAAAAGTGAGAAATATCATACTGCCTTCAAAAACAAACGTTTTGTTCCAGCAGTTGCGTCGTTGAATACGAATACATCAACAGCCGATTGTATATTTTGTGGAAAGCTAGAAAATGAATCTTTGAAACATTCTACTTAAATTGAGGGGGGAAAAAAAAAAATTAAAAATGGCTAACAGATGATATTTATGTTTTCGTAAGTCTCATACGCCTGGTCCTTGCTGATTGGATATACGCTGTAATTTATGTTCATTAAGGCATAATACCATTTTACATGATAATAAATTTGAAAATAAAGGTAAGCTTAAAACAGACACAGTGGTGGTGTCAATTTTGGAAAGAGATAACAAAAATAGGGCTTATTTACAAACTGCAAATTCAATACCTTTAGGTCAGAATAGAAGAAAAAATGTAAGACTCATTTTCGATTCTGCCTCTCATAAATCTTTCATCCTGACAGAAGTATCAAAACAATTAAAATTAAGTGTTGTGGGGGAAGAACTTCAGATTTACACCTTCGGCTCTACTGATGCCTACAGTTAAAAGGCTAAAAAAGGTTAAGGTTATTCTTAAAGATATATAAGGACGTGGGAAAATAATAATTGAAGCTCTTGAAACTCCAGAAATTAATCAAGCTGTTATTGGTATTCCAAGAAAGGAAATACTTAATTATTGTAAGGAAAATTCGATACGACTTGCTGATGCTACAGATATAGGTGTCCATAACTCTCACATATCAGTATTAATTGGTAATGATTATTACTGGAAAATAGTCACAGAGAAGGTTAACAGATTATCAAAGGGTCTTGTTGCCTCTGAAACCTTAATTTGGTTGTGGCAACGATTAGATAATTCTTTAAATGATATAAATTTTGTGCATTCTGAGTTATAATATGAATGAAATATAATACTGTTAAGTGAACCTAGCGTGAGAGTGTCGCTATGATAAACAAATAGAGTGAATTTTAAAGAATGCATTTTTACTCCATTGTGGTTTATGCGCTGTCGGCAAAGCAGATTATAATTCAGTAAGTTTAAACAAAATGCAAGAAAAAAATGCATATAATTTAATATTCCGTACAAGGAAGTCATGTGGTGTACACATCAGATTTTTTGTTTCAGCAAAGAATCACATGCCGAAACTCAATACTCCATTCTGTTAAAGTATGTAGTAACGATACATCATAGCAACTTGCATATCCAATCATCTTCAAATGGTGAAGTATAGTATTGTTTGGAATATTCAGTCTGCATGATAGTTCCTGAACTGCATAACATTAATTTTTAGAGGCTCTTTTAATAGACTCTTGTTTACAGGAGATTGTTGTCCAGATTAGGCATCATCTTCAAGGCTGAAATTTCTGCGCTTAAATGTGTCACCAGAAACAGCACGTTGTCCATATACAATATAAATTCTTGATCAGCAGTTTTTTTCTCTTTTTAAAATAAAAGAATTATGCAAATGAGAAGAGACCATAGTTAAACATCTGGCTCAATCAAGGTAACATCATCAGCAGTAACAAAATAATTAGAAGGAAATCAGCTTTGATTAGAAAAACCACAGAACTTAACAGATGATCCAATAAAATACTAAAATGTATTAACAAAACTCAAAATAATTTATCTTGATTTATTAACAAGGTATTTATAGCAGTAATTTGAGAAACTGATTATTCTGAAAAAAATCTGTGATTCCAATAAGCCTTCAATTCCAAGACACAGTCTGCTTTCAACAACGCTTATATTAAGAAAATGATGTATCTAAGAAGTATGGTATAGCACATAGATTTAACCCTTTGAAGGGCACCAGTATTGTTTGTCAATTTTTTAACCTCCGAAAAAATGCGAATTTTTCAACACCAAAAGCTACAATCGTAAGTTTCAAGTGTTTCCTTTTGATTCTAAATTCACCATCCTATGAATGCTCAATACTTTGCAGTTATCAAATTAATATACCTCGTTATAAGGTATCATGTTTGAAGATTGATAATCTACAAATATATGATGTATACATGCTGAATCTTATATACAGTACAAAGTCAGTAATCTGGACTTGTCGGGACTTCCACGATTCCGGATTATAAATCATCAATTTAAATCTGGTAAGATGGCATGCAGAAATTATACAATTAAAAATATGAAACTGTTATTTATGAAATAAAGAGCAATTATGATCTAAAACGTATCAAAATTTACAAAAAAAAAAAAAAAAAAAAAAAAAAACTTAATATTTATTTGTTTACTTTAGTAAACATTTCTATTAATGTAAGTTGCTTCGTTTTTTGTGCTAACACTTTCTCTTTAATTCTATAAACAGACATAATTTCTTGTTCAGTTACAAAGTTCCACTGTTCAAGTCCTGTAATTGCTGTGTTGAGAATACCGACTAACTTGTCAATCGAAATTTTTTCGTTTTCAATAATGTTCTCTGTTACTTTCTTCACTATCGGAAGCGCACATGGGTAAACGCTTTACATGCATCAAATGCGCATGTGTAAGTTTGTGGCTTTGAGATCCGGATTATAGATTATTCCGGATAATGGACGTCCGGATTAGAGACTTTGTACTGTATTTACATCATTTCAGTCAGAAGTGATAATTAAAAGAAAATTATTTATACGATTTTAAAACCGGCCCACACTGAGAGCACCACGCCAATAGGTGACAGCACTAATCTTCTTTTCCATTCCGTGACATGACAGAATTTCTTTATATTATGACAGTTTATGATGTAATAATTTTTTATGATTAATTTATAAGTTATTTGAGATTCAATATTATGTTCATGAAGGGATGAGAAGTTTACTGACCCTGCGCTAGGACTGAATTCTTTTTTTATTCCACTCGAGTTTCATTTGTCTCTGTTTAGCTAAAATTTCAGGACTTCACCTTTTCCTAAGAGAAAGACTCATCGATTTCAAAATTGCCACGTGGGGTCAAAATTTCGCACAATTGTAGGGGTTAAATGTGGCATGTTAGCCTCCAAAAGACACCAGCTGCTTCATGCTTTCCAAAATCCTAGAATTCAAGGAAAATGAAAAGAGGTGATTGACAACTGATTTGTCATTCCGAAGTCACGGCTTCTTCCCTCTGTGTGGTGTGATAAGGTCACACAAAGAGAAAGCTCACTTAAAAATACAGGAAATGGAAGTGCATTTAAGGTCCATCTCTTAGTGTAATCACAAAAACTAGATCACACAAAGAGAAGGCTCACTTAAAATACAGCAAATGGAAGTGCGCTTAAGGTCCATCTCTTAGTGTAATAACAAAAACTGCTGATTTGAAAGCACGCTTTTATTCTTATCGGCTTTGTTAATTTCAGATGAAAGACTAGGGCACGGCAAGAGAAATTTGCCCTCCGGTTAGGTTACAAATAGGTTTCTTGGAAATAAATTTCACAATTGGTGAAATGAGGGAAAATATTTCTAAGGCTCGTTTTAGATGCAAACTAGAATTTATCCAAAAGTTTGAAAAGGAGCCCCTAGGAGGACAAAGGGGGTGAAAATCAAAGTAAGAGCTTTGAGGTGTATAAAATAATAAAGTTGTTTAACGATGTTTCTTCCTGAACTAAAATATATATTACAACCTATATTTACAAAAAATAAAAAAGGGTCCTCGATAATCTAAAGTGTGTGTGCATGGGGAGGATTCTTGGTATCATAGCATGAACCATGGTTTTTTTTTTTTTTTTTTTTTTTTTTTTTAGATTATCTAAAGCATAAAATATGAATTCAAAAATGCAACATACTTTCTCATCCAAGTCCTCTTGCTTCATTTTTAATTTTTTTTTATTTGTCAGCTGTTATATCTCCTTGTAATATTATATTAGCTCAGTTTGCAGCATGATATGATTTACACATGCAGTGTCATATTTAATAATTTTTTTTTATAAAATAATAATATTGAATTTAAATAAGTTCAAAAGCTTTTTACCCATATTTTACATAATATGTTCAGCTGGTTCAACATCAAAGTGCATCAAAACATAAATTTTATATTTAAAATTTTAAAAGTTTTTGTCTTCAGATTTACATAACTATATCCAAACACCCATCTCTACAGATGCACATCAAAAGTATGCAAAATTTATTTAAAAAACAAGAATTAACAATTGGCAGCTACCTGCAGAAAAAATGTCTTAGAGGGGTGCCAGTATAAAATATATAAATTTAGGATTTCGCACTAGATTTTTTTTAAGTCTGAATTTTGTGTCCTTAGGATCTATAATTTATAGTTCATGCAAAATTTTACTACATTTTAAATTACTTTATATATTGCTCCTCAAATGGTTAAGAGAAATTAAAGGGTTACTAATAAAACACTTTCAAATCAAATTATTTTGATGCTTACAACATAATTGAAGATGAAACGACTATGACATAGCTTAAGATGCTTCAACAGACAGTACAGCTCAATGCAGTTCACTCGGCACCAAGGACACTGGAAATCATCTCGTGCTTCTGTTTGCTGCCGAGTGTTATTGTTGTACAGGAACTGATAAAAAATACGCATTTTCTTTTGTCTCTCTTGAAGTTGAAAGTCTTGTTTAACACCTGAAAAGAGATATTTTTAGCAAACACAGTAAAATACATTCAATATGTTTTATACACAGGCTTACCATAATTTTTTTTACCTCAAACTAGGACGAATTTGAGAAAAATACCCAACAGAAAACAAAGGCTACTAGGAAAAACATCTATGATTAAAATAACTAAAGAAATTAATAAAAAACGATTTAAACACATTTTTTAATAATTCAACTAGTACATTATTAAGAAAATATGAAAATATTAATATTTATCACAGGTGTGAACTTTCTTTAAAAATTCTTTGTAATTTTCAATGGCATTGAAAAATTCACTGCAGTTTAGTTTTCACTGTTAATTTTACAGCACAGTAAAGCTTTTACAGTTGACTGAACCATTTTACCTCTTTCTTGACCATAAGATATTCACTATTGAGAATACTCCCAAATGGTGCATGCCGGAAAACATTTTATAACTGGAACAAGACTGGATACCCCCCCCCCCGAAAAAATGACTTCATTTTACTTCAGAACTTGCATTTTTCCAAATTTCATACTTAGATAACGGGGGGTCTTTGCAATCTCTACATCATCAAGAAGTCGATCCATGTTTATTGCATTATTTGCAACAATTTCTTTACTTTTTTTTTAATGCCAATTGTCTACACAATATTAAAAGTACTTAGATATTGACACAAAATATTTAGATTGACAACAGTGATTGTAACAAAGGATATATTTCAGTTGCAGTATCATCATTTCACACAAGACTCAACCATTATGTTTATCTCTTGCATATTCAGTAATCTTAAAATTTTTTCAAATAACCAGGACACAATGACAAACTGGGATGCAGAGATCACATCATCACACTTGCTTAACTATCTTATAATAAAACATATTATTGCCAAATGATGAAGTATCCACTATTAAACTCCCAGAAAATGAATAAAAGAATTTTATTCAAATAACTACAATGATATTTTCAAGTACTGATGATTTTACATATTCTTGAGGTTCCCAATGCTGTTTTGGGTTACGTTTCATGCCAACATTTATGTTCACAGACTGATGATGCCCAATTATATGATAAGTACTGGAACTTTTAATATACCTAAAATTAAAAACACAACTTTTCTGCTGTATGGGAATGGCACATTCTACAAAAACTCATCATTGTCTTGCAGGTATTAGTGAAAAAACATATTCAGAAGCAAAAGATTTTGCAAGCGATTAAGAAGTAATAGCTCTGCATAATATGATACCAAGCAGACTGAAAATTTTAAAGCAAACTGCTCTAAATGGGTGGGTTAAAAATTTGTTAGTATGTTATATAATCCTTTATTTCTTTTTACATTTCTCTCTCTCATCTTCCTTTCTTTTATTTATTTATTTTTTAAAAAAATCTTTTCCTGCATTATCTCTGTTTTAATTCTGCATAAAATAAAATTGGTAGAATAACGTACACTCAAAACTTATATCCCTAGTAACGGTGATAAACTTAAAAAAAAAAAAAAAAAAAGTGAAGCCATTTTTTAAGAATCGTATCACTTCTAGAAAGTAAAAAATGATACACACATAGAATTTAGTTTCATAGACATAGCTTTCCAATCATCAACTAACTTGTTAAACCATTTGATGACAGTAAATCACTTGGTTTCACAGCTGGCTGTGGCCTATCCACCATCCCATTGACCAAGTTGTCCTTCCATTGCAAATGGAATGTCACTAAGGGTCCTTTCCCAAACACATCAATAAGATTAATTGTCTGAAAAAAAGGATAATATTAAAAACACAAAGAATATAATTATGATCTGAATTGCACAACAAAATGGACTAAGAAAATACAGTACAAAGTCCGAGACCTGGACATCCAATATAAGAAATGACCTAAAATCAGGACATCAAAGACACCACCAACTTTTTATTTATTTATTTTGGCATGCTTTACACGTGTGCATTTAATACCCCCCCCCGCATAATAAAATATGTTGAGACTCAATTCTCAATTTTACCTCGACATTAAATAACATATCTCATTATTAAAGAAACAATTATTTTAGCATAAATTCGTATGATGAATAATTTGGCTCCATAACTGCATATCTGCTTGGCATACATCTCAAACCGAAACATTCTATGTTTGATTTTACACCTACTAATATTTTATACCTCTTATGCCAACCTCGCAAATCATTATTTATTATATTTTGCTTTTATCACTGCATGTTTATTAACACATACCAACTTGAGTAATGACTCATGTAGCGATGCCTAAACAATTTTTTTTTATACTAATAATTCAATAACAAAGAGTATGGTAACTGTTTATGCTTACAGTATGGTTGGCGATGATTAAATAATTAAGTTGAATGCGCTAAGAAAAGCTGATGAGGAAAAATTTCTTTCCATACGCTAAAAATAGATTTTGTTAATGATACTCATAGGCCAAAAGATTACATCTAGTGCTATTTGAATTAAGAGTAACTAATTTGTTATTCACATAAACCCAGAATCAGCACCAGGCAGCAGAATTTAGGGAAAACAAGGGAGGCACTTGGTAGCAGAATTTAGGACCTTCAGAGACTGCATCAGGCGGTAAGATATCTAGCAATGGTCCTCAATAAGCCTTTAAGTATTCTTCTTCTTTAGATGCCCAGGATAAGCCCTTGCCTTCCTCAGAATCGAATTCCAAGCTCTTCTATCCCTGGACATGGACATCCAATTAGTTATTTTAAAAATTCTTAAGTCTGTTTCCAAACAGTCGAGCCACTTAAGTTTAGGTCTCCTTCTTTTTCGGCCAACCAGTGGCCGAGCGGTAAAGTCGCTGAACACTGGTAGTTCGTTCCGAGGTTCGAATCCCGCGAACGGGCTGGCTGCATGGGCGTTTTCGTGGTTTTCCCCATGTGTAATGTGTATACCAGCCAGTTTCCCTTAGAAAGTCCTCCATGAAGGCATCCCTCCTCTTAGGCAGATAGCCCTCGAGGCTTTGCCATAATCACACACACACCTTCTTTTTCGGGTACCGAATGGTCTGGCCGAGAAGATCTTTTTTAGTTACTCAATTTTCATCCATTCTGCACAGGTGTCCTGCCCATTAAATTCTCTGAATCCTTATATATTTTACTATATCTATTTCTTTAAAGGATTTATAGAATTCAGAGTTAGTTCTTCTTCTCCAGATATTGTTACATTTTATGCCACCAAAAATACTTCTTTCAAAGACAGAAATAATACTTTTAGCTTTTTCTGTCATTGCCCAAGTCTCAGCAGAATGTGCAAGAATGGGTCTAATTAAGCATTTGTAAATTAAAATCTTCATTTTTCTGCTAATGAAGTTAGATTTCAAGTATTTTTGAGACAGGTTAGCATCTGTGACTCTACTACAGATCTTGGGCATTAAATCATTGAGAATATTAACTTCTGATTCTAAATATTTAAATTTGCTAACAGTTTCAAACTTGTAATTCCCAATTTCAAAATAGGAATTGCTGTTATTACCACATGTCATGTATTTAGTTTTATTTTGGTTGATTGCTAGATGCATTTTGCTGGCTCCAGCCTCTAGAGGTGTTAAAGCCTCTCTAAGTGACTCGGGAGTGCGTGCGACTGTGAATATCGTCAGCAAACGCAAAAATCTGAACAGATTTGTTAAAGATAGTTCCACGAGTTTTAATGTTGGAGTCTTTTATGATTTTTTTTTTTTTGGGAGGGGCAAGGTTAAAAAGCAAGCAGGCCAGTGCATCAACCTGTCTGAGCCCATTTGAAACAACAATAGGATCAGAAAGATTATTCTGGATTTTAACCATAAGTTTTGTCTCAGTAAGCGTAATGGTGACCAAATTTATAAGTTTTTCAGGTATTGCAAATTCTCTCATAGCTTCAATTAAATATTTTCTGTTTATTGAATCATAGGCAGTCTTAAAATCAACAAAAAGGTGGTGCGTTGCAATGCCATATTCATTAGTTTTTTCCAAACTTTGCCTAATGTTAAAGATTTGCTCTGCTGTCCTTTGCAGAAACCACATTCATAATCTCCTACATTATTTTCTGTATAAGTTAGTAGTCTACTAAAAAGTATATTGGAAAATAGTTCGTAGGAAGACTGATTCCCCTGTAGTTGGTACATTCCAAAATGTCTCCTTTTTTATATATAGGACAGATGATGCTTAGTTTCCAAGCTTCGGGTAAAACTTCTTGGCTGCAAACTGATTCAATGAGGTATTGTATTTCCTTTATGTTTTGACCTGCAGCAGTTTTAATGAGTTCTGAATTAAGTCATTTGGGCCTTGTTATTTTTGAGCTTTTAATTCCTTCTCTAACTTCTGCCAAAGATGGTGGAGGGATACTATGGGTGTTACAGAGGTTGTTGGGTAGATTGAAGACCCATCCCGTGTATGGCCATTCAACAAATTACTAAAGTGCTAATTCCACCTGTGGAGTACCTCTTTTCTGTCATTTAGGATGATGCTGTTTTTGTCTCTATAGGCAGTAGTTCTAGGCTTAAAATCTTTGTGGCCAAGATTAATTTCACGATAGAAAGCACAGCCTTCATTGGACCACCTCAGATGTTCAACATCCTTAAATAGGTCGTAATGAAAAAGTATTTTCTTAAGCCGGTGGATCTTCTCCTGTTTTCTAGATCTCTTATATTCCTCAACAGAGAGTCTTGAATGTTGCTTTTGGACCATATTTTTATAAGCAGCTCTTTTTGCCTAAGCCTTTAAGTATATGTGAGAATTTATTTATTCAGGACTCAGATAAGCCTTAAGCATGTGCAAGAAACTGACATAAGTATAATAAATAACTAAACTAATACAATTCAGGCTTAATTGTCTCAGTGCGGGATAGAAACAAGATAAAATCTAGCAACTTGTCTTTAGTCACCAATCTCATGATACATAGCCAAATACGTATAGTGAATGATAGCTAAATTTTATGATGATAGTCGCGAATTTGAAGGTTTTCGGATATCACAAACTAAAGCTGAAATTTTCTATTAATGGATTTAGTAAAGAAATGTGGAGAAGCGGTAATAAATGGAAGATAATATAAAAGACGTTTTTCATTGTGATGACAATGCTCCTCAGTTATCACTCAATTAATAAATGGTGAAATCTGTAGTATGACTATATCCAGAAAATACCGTTAACGATAGTGAAGATATTGAAAATGAAAAAATTTCGATTGACAAGTTAGTCTGGATTCTCAACACAGCAATTACAGGACTTCAACAATGGAAATTTGTAATTAAACAAAAATTACGCCTTTCTTCAGAATTAAAGAGGAAGTATTAACAAAAAAATGAAGCAATTTAACTTACATTGAAAGAAATGTTTAATAAAGTAAACAAATAAATATTAAGCTCTTTTTTGTTGTTGTTCTTGTGTGTGTGTGTGTGTAAATTTTGATTCCTTTTCGATTATAATTGCTTCATTATTTCATAAACCTTGATTTTATATTTCTAATTTTATAATTTCTCATGCCATCTTACTAGATTTAAACTGATGACCTAATATCCAGAAAAATCCCAAATCCGCAATCGCGGAAATCCCGTTGAGTCTGGATCTTGGACTTTGTACTGTATCAGTATTTAAATTTCAATTAAAACCCAAATTTAATTTGAATTGAGCTTTTATATTTTAGTTCTTTGATCCACTGTATTATTTAAATCAGCAAAGAAGATGGAAGCATCAATGTCACCTATCACAACATGTAGAAAATTTTGCTTTCTCTAAGTTCACTCAAAACTTACTTTTTACAGATGATTTTTCTGTTCTATGGAAACATTCAGAAGATTAACTTACACTTCGTTATCTTTTATTTCAGAGAATTTCCTCAATTTATAATCAACAGAGAAGTCAATAATAAGCATTAAATTTCTTGATCTTTTAAGAAATGGCAATTCTCTTTGGACTACTATCACAAACCAACTGACAACCTAGCAATAATCCCATTCCACTCTTTTTTTCTTTCTTCTTTGTCCGTATAAAAAAAAGCTACCTCTTATTTTTACTTGAAATATACCAAGGATTTCTGTTATACACCTAAGTTTTACGAAACTGAATATAATTGCATACTACAAATTGCTGAAAACAATAGATACGCTCCCGATTTTGTGGAAAACCTCGACCAAGAAAACCAATAAACAAGCTTCTACAGTCATTTCCCCAAAAATAAAGTTGTTACCAATCAAGCATCAAATAACAATAAATTTGAGCAAATTTATTACAACTTTTCCCATACTACTTGATCCACAGGCATCCTGGTTATGACTGATTCATACATGTCCCTTAAGGAATGGAACATTAAAAGATACAAATGGCATAATCTCAGTCCCATTCATCTAGAAACTGTTCAGATCAGATAAATCAGTAGTCGCCACAATAGATATTTCACACTATCCCAATTTGCAACAAAGATGCAAGAAGGGAAATCCAGTATATCTGCTCAACATCCAGAAAACTATCAATAAGAATTGCAAAATAAAATTATAACTACAGGCTCTCTGTGAACCAGTTCATCAACAAAAATAACACGTCTTTAGTCAAATACTTCACTGCACATTCACACTTAATAACTGAATTTGACAAGGCCAAAATCATTGCCAAACCCTAGCATGAAAACAGCCTCAAAATTCAAGCAGCACTTGAAATCACCACCAAGCCATGTTGCAATCTTCCATAGAGATACAGGTAGAAGTAGATGGGATGCTAAAAATTCACTATTGGTCATACAGGCATAGTCTTGCTTCACTAACTGCGCAGTTCTGTGCCAGTTTTGAAGAAAAACTCTCAAAGGTGGTCCAAGGGTCTCCAACCCTCTTCCCCTACTACCAACTTCTCGAGAGATTTTCCAACTCACTATGTATTTTGAAAGCCCCCTCGCCGTGGAGATACTATATGCTTACACACATCCACGACTTCTGCACTTGAACTCACGGTATGATAGTGAGTGTCACTAACCATTATATGGGCTGAATGGCCAATTTTCCATACACCTGTACAGCAATTCTTAGATAGCTCACCTGCAAAAACAAACAAAAATTCAAACGTGATGACACCATCCATTTTAGCTCCAAGTGACGAAGTAGACAAGCAGTCTGTGACAGTTCCTGTACTTTTATTTATGTTTAAATGTGGTTCCAGCATGTCAACTTATTAAGTATTTTATCTCCACTGTATTATTTTAACGGTCACTGAAATTTTTTCGGAGTGTGCGGGTTTACCAAATTTTTAAGTTTACAGAAACCTTTTCTTAACAGAAAATTTTTCAATTAAATATGAAATGCCAACTGAAAAGCTTTTAATAATAAATATACAAATAAAGAATTTAATCCCCCTCCCCCCTCAGCAGGGTGTAAAATAAAACTACACCTCCTTCAGTTTATAATAATATTCCGCTAAGTAGCATTAATGCCTTAACAGCCAATTTTTATGAAGTTTTTACAATTTTTACAAAAAATGTCTTAGTTTTATCTGATGCCTAAAACTTATGTCTTAGTTTAACTTATGCCTAAAAAAAGTATATGACTTTTAATAAATTTAAAAGTTTTTATAAAGGCATCAAAACAAAACTGCAGTTCAGCGGATTACAAATCCGTTTTTTAAGGACATTTTTTGCAGACATTCTAGGTTCAGCTTCAAATCCGTTCTCTTTATTACGCGTTACCACCTCATCTGGTGAATAAATCAGTATTTTAGTGCTTTTGAGACTAATTTGCATAAAAAAAATTTGATTCGATGATTTGTGAATTTTATCGTTGTTTAGGTCATAATTGAAATAATGATAATACATTAAAATTATTTTTTTTTAAAAGAGAAGCAATAATTAAAAAATGTATTTTGTTTCCCTCTATCATGTTTTAAGACATTTTAACTTCCAATTTGCTAATTTTTTATTCTGAAATTTAAATACAATAATAAAATGCAACAAAACACAATTTCAAAATTATTTTTTAATAAGAATAAAAAAAACTATTGTTAGCACACTAGATTTAAATTCACTTGCCCAATTTTGCACTGCATATGTAAAGTCCCCCCCCCTTGCATATGTTCCAAAATATTCACATGTGTCACTTTTTTCCAACAAAATTCACTTTAATCTCCCTCCCCCAAAGAAATGTTGTGATTTTTACATGACAGGTATGTAATAACTTTGAACTGCATAAACTACTGGTATGTAATAACTGCATAAATTAATTCTTCACAAAAACAAAACCATACACACTGGTAAAAAATACCTGAAAATTTTAAAACCCTAATATGTTGAATATCTTGATCAAAGCACATACTGATTGATGGCTAAACCGGTTTTAGTCATCAATCAGTATGTACTTGATACAAAACATAGTAAAAAATAAAGGGGGGGGGCGCTAGTTTGCAACATAGGGAGACTGCATGTCAACAGCATCATACAGTGAAGGAGAAATATACTACAGCTAAGAGTTAACCTATTCACTTCCTGCACATATAACATCCCCATGCATAATCTATATCTACCAATCATATGGACTTTACCTCATATTGTGATAAAGTCACATTTGTGATCTGTACCTTCTCTTTGCCTTCGGGAAATGTTTCCCAAGACGATAACTTCTTTGGTGAATTCCTTTGCCCCACTTCTTGTAATACTAATTGATATTCGCCATCCGTCAGTAAACATCTTTGGTGCTTATCGTAGACTACAAGTTCAGCTCCATAGTATCGAACTTCATCATTCTGCGTCTTTAAATGTTTCCTTTTTTTCTGAGCAGGTTCATCCACTTAAAGGAAAGATATATTAAACTTACAAGTGGAACAAAACACAAATTACAGTAAAATCTCTCCTAACTGGCAGGCAATATCAAAATAAAAACATTTTTGAAGAACTAAATTTACATTCAAAATTTAGATTTATGAGATAAAAAATATATATAATGAGCAAAAACTATAGAAATGTGGAAAACATTTATATTGTATTTGTTCCGCTAACTTAACATGCCTTATTCAACCACTGGGTCAAAGAAATATGATGAGTATAAATTACTGATGGCTTTTTATGCATCTAATGTGTAAACTTTGAAGGCAGTGTCCATGACTTTCAGCAACAATTCAGACTGCAAGACGCCTGATTTAATTTTGTCCTTTGCATTTAACGATGTAACATTATTTTACATTGTTGCTGGCATAAACTGTGGCTCAAAATCAGTTTGTACAAGATTCTCTTGCTTATAAAATACAATCTGTGCCTATGATCGGCATCAATGTGTTTAGTTAACATATTCGGCAAAGATTAGTATTAATGAACACAAAATGCAAGTTTGGATGGACAATTCCCTTGAGATGCTACGAAATAACTGGACATGTATTGGTAAAGGGGTTATTTTCAAATGCAGTTAAATTTTGTTTTTCTGAAATATTAAATCATGTGCATGCGTTTTAATTTTAAATAGTGTGTATCTATATATATTTTTGAAATCCTACCCCATTTATTGAAGAAAACTGCATGGAAAAAAGTATATGATTTTTAATATTATTTACTTAATTGCAGTTGACAGATTTAAAAAAAAATTGCATGACAGATTTCAAATGCTGCAACTTCTATAGATAGTATCACAAAACAAGTAAATTAAAGAAATATATATGTAATTATCTGGAAAAATCTCTTATCCAGAATCGACCAGGTCTTGTTGCAATCAGCTAAAAGGGATTCTAATGCTTTTACTTTGTTATTTATTTTTTAGATGGCTGCACTGAAATTGGTTGTTGTTTTAATTCTTTACTTTTCCCCACCATAAATAAATAATAATCAATAAAATGCATTTTCAGATTTAAAAATATGTGTTGCCAGTTTACATGCTACATGATCACTAACAATCAGCATAAACAAATCCTGTCTATGGTCAGGGTTTGTACACATTTCTGCGCATGGAAATTAAGTACTTTTAAGGACCACTAATGAAAAAAATAATTAAGGACCTATGAGCAAACGGGAACTGAACAAATTCAATTAAAAATATTATTCTATGCCTGAATTTCACTTTTGTAATACCATCCTAAAAATAAAATAGATCCCTAAGCAGTATGCATTATTACTAAACATGAATTAACTAACATAATTATTAATAAGTTTGAGAATAAAATAGACTTCATGCAGTTTATCAAGTAGCATTAAATATTTTACACTTATAATAGTTGGACATATTTAAAAGAAGATAAGAGACATTTATGTTTTACTAATAGTTAGCTTTATGCTGGTTTCCCCCCCCCCCACATACTTGGTCAGTTTAGAGGTTTAGGAAATAGTAGGGAGATTTTATGTCAAACGACATAGGTTAAAATGAGAAGTGAGATCATAATCAGCATGATTCATAACAAAAGACTGAATGTTCTCCCTCTGCTGCTTGTCTATAGATAGACCTGCTGATTGGAAGAAACCTGAAAGGCCTGATGTAGGCACGGTTGACAAGCGTTGAAAGTTAGTCAAGCTCTGCTTAATGCAGTTAATGTCATAGCTTTGTGTAGAGTTCCAGGGGTTGTAACCCAGTTACTTTAAGGTTCTAATAAGCCATTAAAGTGCCAGAGGTGATAAGTTGTTTTATATATAAGTCTCAGTAGATGCAAAGAATAAGTTTTACTTGATGGTGTTGATGGTTACTTGATGGGTGTTGGATGATCTGAGACAATTACATGGGAAAAATGCTTACTATGAAAAAATTAAAAAGAAGACATTTTAATTAATTACATAGCTAATTTTGCTTTTACTAAGAGCTGTTTCATAAATTATGCTTTATAGCTATATACCTTGTTGTTATATACTTGTCGTAGTCCACCGAAGGAGTCTGTTAGTGTATCGTGGTTAGTGCATCGTCGAGAGAGCGTGTTGAGCACGGGAAAGACTGAATCGAAGAGTCAGGAGCTGTGCTCGTGTGTCGTCGGGTGCATCGCGAGTTGTAGCGTGGAGAGTCTCGAGAGTACGTGGAATTCCGAGAATGACCAAGCAGAGTCGGGATTTGTACTCCGGAAAGCAGAGTCGGCTGCTTTGCAGGAAGCTGTCTCCACAGTTATAGCCTGATAACCTGAAGGCTGTGTCGCTGATCGTGTCAGCGTATTTATAGTAGATCTTCGACGACTGTAAAACGTGTTTTGGGGCTGTCCTGACAATACTGGCAAACAAAGTGTGTTTCGATACTTCATAAAGTGTCGTCGTTATTCACTCCAAATCTACGAACCCCATACGAACGTGAAGGAAGAAAATAACGTAACAACTGCTGTCAGAAGAATAGGTAGAGGAAAAACGTAACAATATAATTCTAATATTATAACAATATTAGGCATGTATGTAACAATTTATGTAACAATATCATTCTAATATTCCATTATTTTAATGAAATTTATCAATGTTATGATGTTTAAACAAATTATAACCCATGAACCCATTCAAAAGATAACCATAAACGTCAGTGAACTGCCAAAAATATTCCTCCAAAATGCTAATTCACACTCAAAATGGCAGTCATAAAAACAGAGAGAAATTTCAGATGATTAAAATTAAGGACTTTTAAAGACCAAAAATCGATTTAAAAAAATTTAAGGACTCTTAAGAATCGTACGAACCCTGTATGGAGCACACAACATGGAAAATAAATACATATGGGATTATAGCAATATAACTGCCAACATCAGAATATTAAAAAGTGGGAGCTTCCGAAAAGTTCATGTGCTGCTGGGCAACACCACTTCAAAGGAACTCCAACCTGATTTAAATTGACCTCATAATACATGATTCAAGTTTTTTAACTATTTATAATATGATTCTGATGTATAATATATTAATACTTAATTAAATATACTAAATTCTATGTTCCTTGCTAATTTAATTCTGTAATTTTTTACACTCTTATACCAAGAAATTTAGAGTAGTGAAGGGAAGATCTATTTATCAAAAAACTTTAAAATAAAAATAATTAATGCACATACTTTTTTTATTGTGAGGATAAACTTAGTAATATACCATATAATAATGCAAAGCAAAAAAGAAATATTAACTGAATTAACATTGGTTGAATCTTCAGAAAAAAGCTCTACAGACGTCTACGATATATTAACCTTTTCTTAGTCTGCAATACACACACCACATGTTCAGCTCTTTTGTGCCAGTACAGTCCATATCACATGTCATGCGGCAAAAAGAAAAATTACATCGGTGAAAGTGAATACATTACACCTTTCATTATATTTTATGATTATTTTTTGTATTTCTGAATACTGCTAAAAGAAGGTGCGATTAGTCCCACTTTCTTCATATTTTTCCACCGAGATTCCCCACCTTGAACGGAAAACATAATCATTTTGTATTTTCTGTAATTTTGCCATCTTTAATGATAAAATAGAATTTATGATGGATTTACAATGTGAATCTGAGAGCAGTGAATAAAACAGCTAAGATTTGAAGTGAATACCCAGATCAGATACCAGCATCTAAATTTTATAGTCTCAATCACTTGTCTATTATATTCTCTCAAATAATATTATTTAAAAAACATGAAAAAAAAAGTACTTCTGCATGTTCTCTTTTGTACAAGCATCAAACATTATACCCATCACTCCAAAGTGAATGTTACATAATTTCAAAATGATCAATAATAAAACTATGCAATAATGGACCTTTTTGTATGATTTTCATAAATCAGAGTTGCCACTCAAACAGGAGAATGAAATTCCCTGACTTTTCCATGTTTTCCACGTGTGTTTCAAGAAAATTCCAGGCTATCCACATAGTGCATGCTGGCTTTGCTGAGCACAAATTAATTATAGTACCACTTGAAAACAAAAAAATTTGCCAGTTATATATGACTATATAATATATATATATCCCCAAATAGGAGTTGTTTCCTCCTCTGAGGATTGAGATTAGAATCTGCTCAATCGAGATTTAAAAATGTCTTTACTGCAGACATTTTGCAGCTAAAGGAAGAAAGAAGTCTAGTTAATGATGTTTTAAAACAAACTCAAATATTTTATATTTGTTTAGCAGCACATATAAGTAAATAATTATGCACTAAATTTCATGATGGTACATCACATTACTGCTAGAATTAGTTTCATAAGTATGCTAGAGAAAATTGCCTGAATTTTGAAAGTATTACTAACTAATAATAAATAAATTTAGAAGGAAGAAGTTACATACGAATAACATTAATATAAAGTTCATTACGTAAGAATTAAAAACTGAATGACAAAAATCGATGGTAGTTTGGTGAATATATATAGTAAGCAGTTAGCCTAGATGATTATTATTTTTTTTATTTATTTTACTGCGAAATGACAAATAAGGCATTTAAGAAAGAAGAAAAAGGTTTAAAAGATTTTGCTTTATATGAGAATGGGAAGAATTTGCTTTCGTTCAATATGCACTGCACATACGAATCTCTGGATTTTCGAGGTTACTGGAAACCAAAGATACTGGAAACTTGCTTTCTCTTTTTAAAAGACAACCTGATTAGCTCTGAGAAAACCAGCTCCACGCCAGCAGTCCGAATGACATTCACGTGATACACGACTCGCCCAGAAAGAGATCGCTTCAAACATTGGCGCAAAAATTGCTTTTTTGGGGATTGCAGTATGAAATTCCCTGACTTTTCCAGATTTTGACTAAACTACTTAAATTCTTTGATTTTTCCCAGACTTTTTGGGCCAATTTTTGAATTCCCTGACTTTTCCATGTTTTTCAAGTAGTGTGGCAACCCTGATAAATTTATCAGAGAATCATACCCGTTAATCTTCAGATTCAAAATGTGACAAATCCTGTCATGATAGCAAGAATCTATTTTTCTTGTTTAGCAAGAAAATTCTACCTTTTGATTTTTCAATGTAGATTCAAACAAAAAAAAAAAAAAAAAAAAAAAAAAAAGGGCGGGTGGGGAGACAGAGAGAAAGTAATAGAGTTTTTGTGCTGGACAAAAAGTAACAAAACAGTTAGCAAATTTTTAGATATATATACTTAAACATTACATGATTAGAAACACTGAAAGATAATAAGAAAGTAACAGCAAAGCTGAGCAAAATAAACCAACTTTGAATAACAGTAACTATATGCAAATGTACTCACAGATATCTGACATATCTCCATTACAGTAGCCATTAACTTTCATTTTGTTCATCGGACATGTGGCACGCAATAAAAGTACATAAGACTTGACTAGATGTCCATTATGTAAATTAAAATTATCATTTGGTACAGAAATGGCAGTGACTTTGGCAGGAGGATTACTGACATCAGGATTCCTGTGAACTTCACACTTTCCCACTGCAATAAAAATTTACATCAAATAAGCAAAACTCAAGTTTTAAACAATTGCTGATACAATAATACATTTTCTTTCTTTACTCTTTCCTTCTTACACCACCACCAATAGATCTGAATTTTTGCTAAGAATATTTATGCAGAATCATGAAGCTGTATAAACAAAAAACTGAAAGTATACTTAAAAATATAATTATGGGAACTTATACAAAATTTGAAACATATACAGCTAATCCTCATATAACATGGTAGATAGGTTCCTAGAAAATACCACGTCGTATGAGATCCAGAGTTAGTATAAAAAGGAAGTAGTTACGTTCCGAAAATTTATTAAAAACATTTTTTTTTTAATTCTACATAAACAACTTAATTTTTATTAAGCATATATATGTATGTACAACACAGAACAAAAAATATTACATATTTTAATTTAATGCAACTTTAGTTTAATAAATTTCTTCGTCGTCACTGCTCAGTATAATTAGCCAAGACCATTTTTCGGTGGAATGAGATCGCTTTCACTTTCAGAATTTCTTTCTTCATTTGAAGTTCTGGCATTTTCTTCTCTCCTTAAAAAATCTGTAATTTTATTTGCTTATTAGTTCTTACTAACTGTAATTTTATTTGCTTATTAGTTTTTCATGTAAATTTCTTGATATGGAGCTAGACAGTTTTGCAGTTCCCTTTTGAATTTTCGGCTTAATTCATCAGAAGGGTCGGCAATCAAGAAAAATGATTTGAGATTTTCAGCTAAACTTAAGCCTTTTTTTTTTTTAATTAATGTTAAATTATTTACTGCACTATCTTCATCAGTGCTAGTGTCTTCAGAATCAATTTGATTAGCGGCTTCGGATGCCATTTCCATCAAATCTGTTTCGTCAATTTTTTCTTCCGCTAATAAATCTTGAACACCCTCAACAGCCATGTCAATAAAACCTTCCCCTCCGACTGATTTAGCAAGTTTTAATAAGCCAACAATTTCATTTTCTGATGATTCACGCAAGTTTTCTATTTCATCTGAAGAGGGATATATCTTCTTCTAACATACATTTCATGTTGATGCTTTCAGTTCTTTCAGAGACAAAGATACGATGTTAATACAGTGCTCGATAGAAAATGTGTTCCAAGCTTCTATTACCTTAATTGATTTTGTATCAGTTACGTCTAAAATGCACTGCAATGGTCTTCTTATGTAATATGTTCTAAAGGTATAAATAATATCTGGATCTAATGGTTGGAGTAATGAAGTAGTGTTGGGTGGCAGGAACAGTATTTTGACGTTGGGATGATTCAAATCTTGTAGGTGACATGGAACATTATCTAATAATAACAGAGCCATAAGATCAAAATTTTCTGCCTTAAATAACGTTCAGCGCCTGGCGCAAAAGAATTTAAAAGCCAAGCTTTAGCTTAACAATCAATGTCCTAGCAACTTCATAATCAACCGATGCAGATTCTCCTTGAATTCTTATGCTATGAGTTGCAAGGCGCTTTTTGAAATTTTCGAATAAACCTTTACTTGCCAGAAAATCTGGGTTAACAGAGGATTCTCCATGTTCTTTAAGTTACTTGAAAAATTTGAGTGCTTATTGTTTAATGAAACGGAATTCTTTTTTGACAGCTGTCATCAATCCAAATGCTGAGTGCCTTTTCTATCTTTTCAATTATTGGCGCCTGGGGAAACTGCATGTTTTGCGAAGTTCCTGCAGCAACTGCATTTCTCTTAACAGTCCAGACTGTTGCTTCATTCAAATTAGACTGAAACTTAATGCCTTAAAGATGAAAAAGTTATTCTTTAACACACGGTGACTAGTGACTAGACACAGACTGCTGACCAGCAGCATGAGACACTTTTGTTTTCAGGCCACGGAGATGAGGATTCGAATTTTGGAATCCGAACGTGCTTGTTGTACGAATTAAGAGCGCTTATTGTGACCTCATATTATTCACCTTTTGTGATAATGAGGTTTTTTTCATTGTTGTGTGGTAATTGTGCTCTCTTGAGACTGAGTATCGTTTCTGTTGTGCAATTGGGCTTTGAAGATCATGGAAGGAAACGATTCTCCTCCATTACCGGTTAAGAATTCAATGGTCGCTCTCCACCACATGGCTCGTCTCCATGAGGACATTTGTTCTTACAGGTATAGGATCTTGGAAGATAACTGGCAGAACTTAAACGAGGATTCTTATGTGTTAAATGACTATATGGGTGCTTTGCTCAATATGGAAAATCTTCGTGCGGAGTTCACAATTTATTCAGATTACTAGGGCAATTTTCTTATTGTGTTAGAGAAAAACTGTGTTGTAGGTGGGTTCTCCCAATTTATGAATCGTATTATAGCGAAATTGTGTTACAGGATGCCGTGCTCTAGGAGGGCTACCTGTATGTTGAGCAGCAAGTAAAATCTGACATATGAAGAATAAATTAAAAAAAAATTCCTATGCTTCGTCTTTACATGAGATATGTTTTTCCTATGCTTCAGGATTATTCACATCCCTAATTTTAATATTCAATAGAATCTCCGTGCTTATGACGTACTTCCAAATACACACGCAATAACAGCTAATCCTTGTGTACATATACTATATGCCTATTGGAATACATATGCATTTTATACCCTTCACATTGTATGTATTGTATTTCTCTTATAAGTGATTTTGGCCGTAAAAATTTTCCCTTTTCCTAAAATTTACTTGGTTCTGAAAAAATGCTTCTTTTTATAATGATTCACAAACAAATGAGTAGCTAAAAATTGCAAAGATAACTAAATAATTTTTTTTTTTTTTTTTTGTATGAACATTATTCAGAAAGTTGTCAATGGTTGACTTATGGTGTTATCACTTCTAGTGACAGTCCCCACTAGATGGGACTTTTCCGAGAAACGAGATTCTGGTAGCACTGGTTTAAACAGGAGGATTCCTAGAAGAAAGAGCTCCGCTGGAAGCGAAGTCCCGACTATTTGCGGAAATTATGTAGCTGCCACGTGGGACTTTTTTCAAACCTTACTAAAAATGTCTCGCTGGAGCTCTGTCCTGCATAGAGACAATCAGACGAAAGTTCTGCTTCTGAAGAATCACGTAATCCCAATCTGAGCAATAATCGATTACTGTTTGGCGTCAAGTCTTTGTATTGAATGAAAATGGTAACCTAGCTACGTGGGTTTCCTGGAAATGCGCAGGTTCTGAGAATTGTCCCTTTCAACGTCCAGTCCTGCGCAGCCGAAACACACTGTGATACTTTAAAACTGCAGATGCAAATCATTAGAAAATACTATTTTTTTAGTAATAAATTTAAATGACCTATATGTAATAATTAGTTAAATGATTACTACCGAGATCTGTTATATTTACAATAACCATAAAACAATATTTACCCTATAGTATAACTTTTTAATTACTTGAAATGCTAAGACGATTAATGTGATATCTGAAGGAAATTAAATAATAAAAATACCATGATTAATCAGATTTTTGTCATCAAATATATATATTATGATTATAGCAAGACCCAAAATATTACATAATACGAAAAGCATACAGTCTTAGCTTTTCAACAATGATAAATACAAGGATGAATGATGAAAACAATGAACTATGACAATAAGAGCAATAACATGAAACAATGGCAATTAATTTTATTCTACTAAAGTTTACATGAAATTTACTTTGAAATAAATAATTATTTTGCATTTATAATTCTGACTTAAAATTTGTACAGACTTTGACAAAATGACTTGTCATTTTGTCAACACAGAACAACAATGAACATTAATTTTTTGTCATGAGAAAAATCTCATCTTATCTGAATAAACAACTCAGTTTTGTTATTTTGTACAATTATTTTGAATTGGCAATTTTGACTTTAAATTTGTGCAGACTTTGACAAAATGACTTTATCTCATCTTATCTGAATTAATAACTTAGTTTCAAGTTTTACAGAATGTAGGATGGAATTATCGACGATAACAAGGATCAATGGCAGAGATAAAGAACTATAACAAGGAACAATGACAGCTAACTCATATAATAGCATGAATTTCACAGTTTACTTTGAACTTATAGTTGTTGAATATATAGTTATAGTTGTTGAACTTATAGTTGTTATGTTGAATATTGATTGAAAATAAGCTGTAAACTCTTCACAATTCTACACAAGAATAATAATTTATTTTTCCTGTAAAATTAACATGACTGACATACTAAGATCAAATACTTAACAGCTCCAAATAACTGATGCTATTTGAATTACCAGTTACATTTTATTTTTATTTTACAAGGAGGAAACATTCAAATTCTCAAATCTCGCAAATCTTCAAAAATACTTTAATTTTTAAACCTTCAATATTAGCCCCTTTTTCTATTTGAATCCCACGAAATGAAATCGTCAAACATCTTAACTGAAAATTTTGAAACATCAGTTTTATCAAGTCACTAAAAAATGAATGCGATTTTTAAAATTTCAGAGGCATTTGATTCCCTTAAATTTCCCTTGTGATGTCCCCGGACGTCACACATTTCACTACAGCACCCAAATCAAAATCAAAATTCTCACTGAAGAAACTGGTGCACAGCAGTTTCTCGAAAATTTTTGAAATGAACTCCCATATGCTTGGGATTTAGTCAACCTACTACGAATAGCTTCCTGAATGTTTTGAAGAACAAATATCCAGCTGAATACAGCAAGTTCTATAGTTCACCATTTTGAAGTAATGAAGGTTTGAAATGTTTTCTGCAGGTATCTGGGGTTCTATGATTATAGAAAATCAAACATCGTATTTCAACACTGAAAACGTATACAGTCAAAAGTCGTTAATTCGGACACCCATAATCCGGACCTCAAAGCTACAAACTTTCTGCGCATGCGTCGCGTCCACGCAGGCGTTTGCGAGTGCGCATAAGACCTTTACGGCTGCGAATATGTTTGTGCGCATGCGCATTTAATGTGTAACAGACGGTATAAGCTACGCTAAAATGATCTAATTTAGTTAATGTTGCAGATTGCGTTGTTCCTTAATCTTCGAATTGGATCCGGTTTGTTATTTTTTGCAGACTGTTAGAGCAATTTCATAAAAGTAAGCTTGAACTTTCGATTATGTCAAATAGAATTTCCGATATAATATTTACTAATATGTAATTTGTATCTCCAAAGCGAAAGTATGTTTCGAAATCCGAAATCTGTTTATAAATTTCACGCCGCGGGTTGGAAGTCGATCTGTCAGCACTATCCTTATCTTCGGGCAGACGTTTTATTTATTGGCTTATAATTCTTTACTTAGAATTTCATCTCGATGTACTCCATCTTGATTGATATGATTTAAATCAAGTTCCTCGTCATTATAATTGCTTCCGATAGTGAAGAAAGTGACCCACAGGTTATTGAAACGAAACATTTCGATTGACAAATTAGTCTATTCTCAACACAGCAATTATAGGAGTTGAAGGGAGGAACTTTGTAACTAACAAGAAATTATGTCTGTTTAAATAGAATTAAAGCGAAAGTATTATCACATGAAACGAAGCAACTTACATTGAAAGAAATGTTTAATAAAGTAAACAAAAAATATTAAGCTTTTTTTTTTTAAATTTTGATACCCTTTAGATCATAATGTTGATTATTTCTAAATTACGGTTTCGTATTTTTAATTTGTAATTTCTGCAGGCCATCTTACCAGATTTAAACTGATGATCTATAATCCGGAAAAATCGATAATCCGGAATCGCCGAAGTCCTGATGAGTCCGGATTAACGACTGTTGACTGTATACCAAAACAGCGACAGAATTTTACATTGTAACGTGAGGTTTATTGTAGTTAGGTGATAAATCTTAATAATGTCTTCTGTTGAAATATCTGCTTTTGAGAAGAAAGTGTCAGGATGTACAGGGTGATCGAAAGCCAGGAAGACAAAAAATATCAATAGAAGGATACGTAATACTTGTAACATGGTAGAAAGGAAGAAGATTGTTTAGTAACCTGGGGGAGAAAATATATCTAGCTTCAACGCTGTCATTGGCATCAATATTACGTTACTTTCACTGATTTTTCATGACCAGACATAATGAACTTAGCACATGTCACTATATATTTTAAGTATGAGTAGTGGGATTTCATTCAATTATTAACCTTGAAATATGAAAAATTGGGAATTTCCAAAATGTAAATATATTAATATTTAATTACAATATTCTAAATTTTATATTCCATGGCTAACTTAATTTCGTAATTCTTTTGCACTTTCATACCAAGAAAAATTACAAGGAAAGAAGGCAGCTTTTATTTATCAAATAAAGTACATTTTAATATGATGAAAATAAAATTAATAATTAATGGGCACATTATTCTGTGGATTAATTCTGTGAATTATTTTGAGAAAAGCTTGTATCCTATAGGTTCCTTACCGCTTGATGCGACTTTATAAAATGAGGATTTGATAATAAAGATGAATAATTCCTCTCTCAAATAACTTGACAAAGCATGATTTAATGACAAGTGATTAAGCTGCAGTCAATCTAATGAAGAAGTCCAACCTCTCCACGACTAAAAATTTTTGACATGCACAATCTAGATAAAATTAATGTTGATCTTTGCCTAGGATGCCAAGAGATCATTATTTCAAGCTGTAAAACTGTGACTGTACAATACTGTTGCAAGTGGATGCAAACATTTTTCAGAAAAAGACACAAAAATCACCTGACTTGCTTACAGATGAGCATGCGAAGGTTGTAACCAAATACATTATTTTCTCAACAACCTTCGCATTTGTATTTTGTGCTATCCCGATGGTCGTTACATACTCTAAAAATAATTATAATTTGTGCAAATTGAATTACTATTTTATTTGCTACTCTGCTAATTCAATGTATGATGGACAATTTGAAATGGATTAAATTATTACACACATAAATTAATTAAAAAACTTAAATTACTAATTGATAAAGATGTGTGTCATTGCACAATTTATGTTTTGAACTGCAAAGGTATTTCAAAAATGAAATGACTGTTCGTTGCAGATGAATCCAACTTATGGGGTCAAAGAGCCTCAAGGGACTTGCAACCCAGTTTGACCACGCCTGTTGTATATCTAGGCACTATATATTCTAAGACTAATTATGGTTAATAAACTATTACAGATCAATTTACAAATTATGCCCATTGTTCGAAGATTCAATGTAAATCAAAGCCTATTAATCTCACATTTGGGGGGAAGGGAATAAAATAAAAAATAAATTACATAAATGCTAAAATTAGTTAAGATTTTTATTATAATTATTCCTTTTTAGTTTTTATGACAGTGATATACAAGAAGACAAAAGTATTTTGATAGTCTAAATATAACAGTTCAACAACTAAGACAAATAAATTAAAAAAAAAAAATAAATAAATATAACAGTTCAACAATTGGGACAAACAAATTTAAAAAAAAAGAGGGGGCAAAATTATACAGCACTAGAAATATTTTCAAACATATACATGCCTGATATTTGCATCACAGGAGATGATACATCTTTTCTTTTCTTATGACAAATTTTTAAAAGTGTTGCCTCTATGCAAACTGTGTCACCAGAACCTAAATAAATAAAAAAATAGCAAAAGAATTTAATACAAACACACTGCAATTTACATTCTGCTATATTCACAATTCACACCTCTGAAAATTCAGCATTTGATTTCTTTGACTTTCACTGATTTTTCATGACTAGACATAACTTAGCAAATTAGCAAAGTACATTTTAATATGATGAAAATAAAATTAATAATTAATGGGCACATTATTCTGTGGATTAATTCAGCAATGTACCATATATTGATGAAAAACAAAATAAAATATAAATATTAACTGATTAAACATTGATTCAATAGTCATAAGATGTTCTACAAATGTCTACAATAGATTAAGACTATTCAAATCAAATAAAAATATTAATAAGAAAAATTATGCTGAAAATCACTAAGGATGAAAAAATGGAATTAGCACAATTCAGTTTTCATTATGAGAAGAAGCACGATTCAGTTTTCATTAAAAGAAGATGATGATGTCGACAGAGTCTCCTTTTTTAAAAACTACATCAACACAACTTCCTTTTTCTTTGACACTTGGTGGAACAATACTTTTCTAGAACTGCATTTGTTATATCTAAATCAGAGTTTCCCCCAAGGGGTCAATGAAATTTTAGATGGCAATCAAGGGGTGCATTGAGGGTCTACAGTCAAATAGGTTCTCGCAACTGATTTGCATACTCAAGATTCGATTACAAGAAAATCATTAATAAATTTTATTAATTAGTAATTAATTGCTTAACACAAATCTATATCATAAAATGTCTTGCTTAACACATATGGATAAGATAAATTTTGTTATTGAATAGTCATCCTAGAGAATTGTCCCAAAATTAAAGTTATTACTGAACATTATGGACTTTTCCCTCTTCTTACTCAGTGGAAGCAAGCTTCCAATGAGTAAGTATTTTACTACAGAAATCAATAAATATTTTTAAACGATGTGATTAAGAATTCAGTTAAGTAATTTCATACCAAAATTTTAAAGAACTGCATCAATATGCATCCATCAGATCGATTAAAATAAAATTTTCATGCCATTAGAATCTACGATTTTGTTTCTTAAAACTTGTTTATATGTGTAATATTAAAAAAATAATAATAGATAAATCTAATAAACTATTTTTTTCTATTTCATAAATCTAATAAACTTTTTTAGTATTTGCTTATATTGTTAGTCTGATTATTATTTTATAGGTTAGTTATATACAATTATTTCTATTATGATTACAGTACATTATAGAGAAAAATGCAAGGGAGTCAATGAAGAAAAACATTCTTTTAAAAGAGGTAGCTGCATGAAAAGGGTTGGGATAAGTAGTAATTACTAGATTGCGTTACAAACTTCCGTGCCTTTTAACACTTTCGACCTGACTTTTGCATGATTAAAATTTAGCTATGTAAAGTAGTTTAATTTAATGTTGACATACTAAAAGAAGTGTAATATGAGGTTAAAGTTTTTAACTTTTCCTGTTTCCTGAAATCTCCTAGGACAATATATCACAATCGTATTGTCAACTGGGATTGTCCCAATCATCTAGGATATTACCCTTTCTCAGAAAACAAAACTAAAAATTTATGGTAATATAAAATGTGAATATTATAAAACATAAACTCTGTCACATGCACTAGTTAATATATATCAAAAGTTTTCATAAACACAAACATAATAATATATCAGCATGTAGTAATTTGATCACTGATGGGACATATTAACCCACTGTTAAATATGATTGGGACAATATATTCCACAAAAAGAATTTATTCAAATTTCTTAAATCTGACATTAAAAATGTTAAATTACTACTTAAAAGAACAATAAGAACTATTTCATACCACGTATGCCTTAAATGTAATTGTACTATAAAATAAAATAAATAAATAAAAAAAAAGACAAATCGAAACTCGAGTAATCTGCGTGCTCAAAAACATAAGTGCATGATCTGCAATCTAAAAGTTTGCCAGGTTTCTTTAGTTCTATATTTGTTCCCTAATTCCTTAAAAAACACTGCAAATGTAAAAACCAATTTAAAAGTAGATTTTATTTACCCTACAGAGCATGAAATCTAATCTCTGGGGCATATGTGCCCATTAGGACTGAAAGGGTTAAACTTAAATCCTAATTACAATACCGTTTTAGAAAACTTTAAAAGCCTCTAAAATTTTATTTACCATTCAGCTAAAAGTTACAACTAAGGAAATTAACAAAAATTCACTTCCACCACTTGCAGCTCCACACTGTTAACATAAGTTTACACTTATAGTTACATAAACTGTTAACTACTGTAAGTGGAAAACTACCTTGTTGCACAGAACTCTAGCAGAATGCAGAATCGCTGCATTCTGGGCCTGAACTGCCAAAGCTCTCTCTCTAAATTTAGATTTTTGCATATTATTGAAACTCGCTTAATTTGCATTTTCTGGTGAAGTACACGAAACACCAGAAATGCAGGAAGTATTAAAGACAATGTGTTATTAAAAGTATCATTTTAAGAGGGAAAACTTAATTTCGAAAGAGATATTAATAATAAATATTTGTATATCGGTGCTTTAACCCTTTCCCATTTGTTTGTTTCAACTGACTTGATTTTTTTATGTACTCTTGGTAATTATCACAAAGAATTGAGAAATATTTTAAACATTTTATTTCAAAATGAGGGAATTCCAGCGGCCTGAGACAAATATGTCCCACTGGGTGGTAATGGTGGGACACATGCATCCCATTAGTACTAAACAGTTGACACACAAAAGAAAAAAATCAAAAGAAACTATTTTTATTTTTATAACTTATATGTGATAAGAAGTAAAACAATTTTTGCATAGTGGTAGACTACATGCCACATAAATTGTTTTAGTTCTTTTCTCTTGTGTGTTTTTTTTTTCCCCCTTCCCTTGGTACAAATGTGACACCTTCTTCTAGTGGGCCCTTTGATGGGTAAATGATTTCCTATATTCAACAACTTGGAACTGGATGATAGTCTATTATATTGCAGTGGTAGTAGTGGTAGTATTTTGTAGTGGGGATGTTAGAAATCATGCCTGCTATCAGTGAGACATCAACTACATAGTAAATTCATGCATTCCCTCTAGGCTTCTTTAAACGTCTACTGGGACTTATAAAGTAAAACTGAATGACTAAGAATTACACTACACGGTAAAATATATAGATATATACAGTTATTTATTATAAAGTGCAATTGCACTATACGTGGAGTTCAAAATTACACCTTACCTTTAAAAGGCAATTGCACTTATAAAGAAAGATATGCAAGAACAGTTATATTTCTAAGCAGAAAAGTGAACAAGTGACTAACAGGTGGGATGGAAAACTATGATATAATTATAACCTTTAATATCAGACTATATAAAATTCAGTAAGAAGGCAAACTTCCTGTCTGAATTTCTTAGTTAAGAAGAAGTTATTTTTGCTGTCTTATAAAGAAACAGAACTGATATTGTTAAGTTTTAGGCTGGAGTACTGTGACAGAAAGAAGATGGGAAAACAGAAATACTGGATGTTGGCAAAAATGAATAATCTATTTTAACTTATCTCCTTGGAACTGTTCTTTAAAGTTCATTTAATTATATAGGTGATATGTCTTAATGAAAAAGCATCCTTGAACAGTAATAGATGATGCACAGAATGAAATATTATTTTTTCTGATTATGTAAAATTGTATATGGAGTTTTAGGTCAAGTAATCAATGCTCATGATACTATTGGTATATGTTTAGGATAGGATTGTGTAGGGATAATTTATTCCGTAACTGGAAAGCTTACCAAAATTCTTTGCATGCCATGAAGCATTAGCAGTTCATCATATCCAGTACCTGTTAATATGCACACTGCAAGTTCTAATATAATGCTTAAAGGTTAGGTGAAAAGCCATTGTTTGCATCAAAATGTCTTGTTCATCATATTTAATTTTCAGTTAATAAAGAAAAATACAAATGCAATGGTTTCCAGTAATGTAACCTCCTCCCCCCCCAAAAAAATCTATGATATACTGGGTTGATATAATTCTATCAGATATGTAACATATGTTCTGCAAGAAAAACAACTATTAAAATCCTGTTCATTTTCTTCATCCTATTGGTTATTCTTAAAAACATGAACTTTTTATTATTTATGAGAACTTTTTCTTCCTTGCCTTTTGGGGAATTTTTTTTTTTTTTTTTCAGATAAATGATGAAATTCTAATGCTAAGGTAATTTGTGGCAACATTAGCATTTAGTAGCTCTTTTTCTTTATTACTTCTGACCATCACACTGATGCATCAGGTGAAGGGGGGGGAGATATTAGGAAAGGGCATTACAAGGTATGACAGGTAACTGTGAAGTAACTCCAGATGAAAGTGATTTTTAACTTGGCATTTTCATGCAACTTGTTCTATTTTCAGCAAAAATTCCAGTTCTTCTGATGTAATAGTTTCAACATATACAATCTAAAATCTTCAGAGAAGCTGGACATCTTAAAAATTAAGCATAAATACACTAAATTAAAAAAAAAAATTACTACAAGCTGCAGTTTGGTTTGTACTGGTATGGCACTTTGAGAGAAGGTTAATAACAGGATCTTTTTTCTCTGTTATTAAATAATTAAGGGGTGGCCATAGCCTGGCTTGCAAACCGCATGTGGCTCTCCCAAATTTTACTCATTAGTTCTGGTACACAATAAATTGAGGTGGTCTGTGAGCGAAGTAGAACACTCATATAATGAAAGAAACATTTAATATCATACAGAATTTGATACAAATTAAAAATAATTTAGAATTTGATTTGATGTTCAAATTGAAGAGAATTTATGGCAAATGGAAACTTTGGGAATTTCTAATATATCTGGTGGCAGTGACAGCTTAAAGGAGGATGCTATTTTACAAAAATTTCGAGAATGCGTAAAGTTTGAGGACAACAAATATATACCTTGCTTGTTTTGGAACAAGCATGCACAGGAATTGCAGGATAATTTCAAGGTAGCCCCCACCCAAAAAAAGATGGGCTGAGCCATTATTGCACAGATTTAGGAAGTATCTGAAGTTTTACAAGCATTAAAAAACTGCGATAGATCAAACATTTAAAAGAAAGTAGTATCATAGAAGAATCAGAATATTTAAAAACTGAAAGGCGTCACTTTTTACTGCTTCAAATTGTAGTTAGAGGAAACAAAGACACCACAATGTCGACAATCACAGATATGCTCTGGTGAAAGTCGAAAAGAGAGGTCATAAAGTGCCATAATAGTTTAAGTTGTTGCAATAAATAAGGTTTGAATCACATAATTTAGTAAGTTTTTTATTACTGTTATTTTATTTTCTCATTTAGAACGTACTGTATAATTAAGTAAGGTTTTTAACTTCTATTATTTTCCTTTCTCATTTTGAATGTATTGTGTGTTTTAGGTCTCATGTTCTTATTTCAAGTCTCAAGTGCGTTTATTCGCGACTAAATTACGGAGAAGAAATATTTCAACATTCACCATTAGTACATGGTGAATGTCGACATTGACCGGTGTAAGTCAGAAATAAGAGTATTTGGAAAATATTTCGGACATACACCAAGAGACTATGTGAATGTTGACATTCACTGGTGAAAATTGACATTCTCCAGATTTCGGTGTTTCACCGTAACATATATATGTTAATCGCATTGTGGAAAATGGCAACATCTAAAGCCACCAAATTTTGAACACATGTGGTCCTCTTCCTGAGTACGTGTACCTCAAAGCCCAGGTTTTGAATTTGTTTTTTTATTCATTTTACATTTTCCACGAATTTAATGAATTCTTTTAAGCTGTTAAAACTGAACAGCTTAAAAGAATGCATCACCACTAGCAAAGATATTTATGTTTCAACTTTAACCAGAAAACATAAATGTGTTGCCACTCTGCACAAAGTAAGATATTTATCTTTCAAATCTAATAAACAACTAAACAATTTTAAAAAAATATATTGCCACTCCCCAAATTAAAATATTTTTATCTTCCATGTACCAGTGCACTGCTACTCACTTAAAAAAACACTGAAAAATACTGAGCAGTAAAATTCCAACATAATTTCAAATAATTCAAACTTTGATGTGAATACACATTTTTAAACTCATTCATTCACAAAGAAAAAATCATAAATTTTATGTTCACTACATCTAGTTACTACGATACTATATAGTTGCTACTTTTTGTTTCTAAACATTCTTTTAAAATAATTACTAAGCTCGGATTTTTTTTGGGGGGGGGGCAGGTTACATTACTGGAAACCATTGCATTTGTATTTTTCTTTATTAACTGAAAATTAAATATGATGAACAAGACATTTTGAATAACTTAGCGTGTCATAATTAATTTAACTAGTCAAACTTCCTTTAATCTTTTTCTTAATCTATTCAAATTTTTTATACAGTTTTTGCAAAAATTCTGTCTTCTATGTTCAATGCATAATTTGTTTTATAATGTAAATGTACTTGCCATAACTCACTACTGTCACTGTTTTTTTAAAAATGTACATTGAACTATTTTAGTAAATGTGTTACTACATCTCCCTCCATAAAGTCATGTAATTTTTGCCAAAACAGATTAATTTTATTATCCCACAGGCTTATCTTTTATACTACTTTTTTTTTTTTTAAACCTTCTCTTCTTCTAGAGACTTAAACAACAGATAGATGCATACATAAAAAATGTTACATATAGGTTTATATAAGTCACATTAAAAAATTAATACCATATTTGCTCACATGTCTCCCTTTTTTTTCCACTAATTTTATCATCTGAAAATTGGGAGTGTAAAATTATACAAATAATTTAATTTCAAAAGGCAGCAGTTACAGTGAAAACATAGCAAATGAAAAATAGTCATATATATTTGTATATATATATTAATTGTTCAAAAGAAGTGTACATTCCAATAAGAAAACATTGCAATATTAACACTACAATATCTGAAAAGATACCTTCAATTTTACTTCCCTGTAACGTGAATTTTTTTTTGCTTGTTCTTATTGTTACACCTGCTTAGACCTAAAATCATCCATAAATAATGAGAGAAGATGAATTATGCAGATGATTTGAAAAAAATTGTAGACTGAATGTAGATTCATGTTTGCTTCGATATGGTGGTTCAGCTGTCATCAAGTTTAACAGCTAGAAGGGAAAGGCTCAGTGTGACCTTCACAAGTACTTTGTGAAGATTTGTCTTTGTTAGTAAGATAAAAATAATCACTATGAGGGTAGACCCATTTTAAAATTTAAGGGAGCTCATTCTTTGAATACACTGAGGAAGAAGAAAATTACATGGATATTTTTAAAAGTTTCAAAACCTGGCCAGGGAGAAAATCTGGGGGAAGGGATAAATGCGCAAGGAAATATGGTACGTAAAAATAAAATATCATTTATAAGTCACATGCAAGTACTCATACAAGTCATATACAATAGACAGTTTGAAACTTTTGCATATACATTAATAGGAGTAAAATTTACATCGAATAATATTAAAATTCTTTAAAATGTTATGTTGCAAAAAAATATAGGTAGACTGTCCAAGAATAATACTAGACTTATAGCTTTGCTTACCTTTTAGCCTGTCGTAATACCCCGTAAAAGTGATTATTAAATGACCAGAAGGCCTGCAAAAAAGTTATTGCAAGATTTAATAAACATGAAATTAAGCAAAAGAATAAAATAAATATGAATCTGTTGCAAAAGTGTATTATAATATCTGACGTGTATCACCACGACTTCTTCGTATGCCTATTAAATTATACACGTTTTTTGCAGCACTTCACTTATTTCTTTGAATTATTAACTTAATTAAACGATTCCTCAAGGCAAGTTGAAAATGACATAAAAAATTGCAAATTTTGGAATTAAATACCCCGGCCAATTTTGTCATATGGGAGTCAAACTTCTATATTCATCATTTAAAATACTTCTGTAATTGGAAATACATGACTACAAGCAATGATTATGAAAATAAAGGTATGTATGTATCAGTATGGATGCACACTTTTAAAATAATTCTACTTTAATTAAACTTAGGAGATAATATAATCAATTAATCAATACTGTTTAGGAAATAAATTATTATTAACTAACTTTGCAGCAATTGCGCAAGTAATAATAACTTGTATTCGCACTAAATGGATTTAAGTTCATACAACATTTTTTATATATATATATACTTTTGGTACTGCCGATTGCAATAAAAAGGGGAAATGCACAACTAGATGTTATAGCAATCCCATATATATAATTTCTAAGTTGTATAACTAACTGCTTTTGAGTTGTGCCAGATACATATGCATATACATTTGCCACAGAAAAATCTATGTTGAAACAGAGTCCTTTATTCTGTCCGTACGTACAGATGTTATGAAATAAATAAATAAATAAAATGCATATATCTGAGCTTTAACTGCTCAAATAGTATAATATTAAAAAATACTCCTCTTAAAAAATATTTTATAATATGCTGATCCGGTGGTCTTTAAATTGTATTTTGTCAAACCTTAGGATTTTATGCAGCCTCTTTGTGCTCTACAAGTCAAAATCAGAATATGGTAAAAAAAAATTTGGACTGTGAAATTAAAATCTAAAATTAATCAAATAATATTTCTTTTTATTTTCCCTATCAATATTAGTCTAAAAATAATACGAAGTAAATATGTTTTTATAAGCAAAATTATAATGAAGTAAGTATTTCACACATAAAGTGCAAGCAGCAATGATAAATTTTCAACAGTCTTATAACATTTACTTATCTAAAAAATTTGATGTGTACACCACGATTTCCTTGCATGGAATTTAACCCCTTAACTGCTGCGGGCATGTATATATGCCTTGCTCAGCCGATGCATTAACTGCCCTAGGCGTATATATATGCCCTTTCAAAATACTATCATTTGCTTTGTGCTGCTACCCATAAAATTATTCGCAAAGCTTTGGAATGCAACACCACAATGACCTTGACAAAGTATGCGAAGGAGGATACTATTCCAGAGAAGTGTGGGGAGAAATTGGAGAGAGGGGTGTGTCTAAAAAGTGGTGACTGTAATGACTGCGCAGTATTGGCTGGTGTTGTTTGAGTAACACATATTTCTTTTAATTCTGTGTCTTTCGTTTTCGTTTACTTTTTGTAGTCGGTTCCAGGAATAAAGAAAGATATAATGGATCTTTCAAACTCATTTATCTTTTTTGAATTATTTTTTATGAACTGCTCGTGCTTCAAATTGTTACTGAAACTAACCATTTTGTAGACGAGTATATGAACCAACACCTTGCAAATGAAAAATTAAGACCAATATCGTGGCATTCAACCAGTTCAGAAGAAATATATGTTTGTTTAGGCATACTGATTTCACAAGGTATAACACTGAAACATGATATGCTTTGCTGGTCTAAAAATGAATTAATCAAAACTCCATTTTAGGGATCTTTTATTATAAAAACATCATTTTTATTATACTTACATCTTTTTATTATACTTTTACTCAAAACATTAAATTGTGCGCATTCATTTTTTCTTTTATTCTTTATTTTGTGAAAGTAAACAGTTTTTAGGAAGTAAAACTTGCACTTATTTTCCCCCTAATACATCGCATAACTACGCGCGCCTGTGTGAAAACCGTGGCACTGGGAAATGAATCTTGTACGTTTTCCATAGCAGTTAAGGGGTTAAATTATACACACTTTTTCTTGCATTTCATTTAAACTTATTGGATTGAATTAAATCTACATCATCAATAGCGCATAAACCCTAATAGAATAAATGCTCTCTTTAAAATTCACTATATTTTGTTTACCATAGTGACACTCTGGCGCTAGGTTCACTTAACAGCATTAAATTTCGTCCGTATTATAACTCAGAATGCATATAAATTTATATCATTTGAAGAGTTACCTAATCATAATAGAGAATAGACTAGAAGAGAAACATGCTAATGTGACAATCAAAATCGTAAAAACAACCTTGTATTTAGCGTAAGTATATTGAGGAGTTGCCCCTCGCTCCCTATTTTTTAACTTAGCTAATTTTCTTGTCCTTTGTTACATGTTTGATCAGATAGCCTGGCTCAGTAAAAGTAGGCGGCCAGTGTAACTCTGATTAAAAATCTGGTTATAACCACGTGCAGTGCTGATAAGGACCACGTGTTTCTGAGACTCCTTTCCCCTTTATTTTTCTTCTTTCTAGGTATTTCTTTCTTCTGACGAGGAGGGACCTTTAGTTGCCCTCGAAATCGATTGAGTGTTTCAATATACTTACGCTAAATACAAGGTTGTTTTTACAATTTTGATAATAGAGAATGTTTGTTAAATTATATACGTATATTTATATACTTTTGGTGCGGCCGATTGCAACCAAAATACGAGGTGCACATCTATATGTTATAGCACTACATACAAAATTTCAATGTTCTGAGGCTACTCGTTTTTGAGTTATGCGAGATATGTACGTAGTAAGTACAGACACCACGGAAAATTCTCTTCAGAATTCATTTTAAATCAGTTTTATAATTTTTTGTGGTGGGAAAGAGTCTTTTATTCTGTTCTTAGTTGCGGATGTCCTGCAAAAACATCATTAAATTGCATTGGATAGCGGTCAAAATTGATATTTTCGTTGAAATATGATACCCAAAATTTTTCACAACTACAATATTTCCTTTTTACTTTGTACAAGAAAGTGAGAACGATAAAGGTTGTAGAAAAAACGTTAAGGTTTCCCTGAGTTAACAAGATTTGAAGATTGTGTTTAAATACAAACTTCAATAATTACAAATTCATATTATATTTAGATTCTGAGTAATGCAATGTTATCTATGTGATCATCAATTGAGTAATTCCTTTTCCTTTAAAATGTTAAACATTTTAAACATTGTGCTAAACATTTTAACTTAAGATCAATTAGAAAAGAAGAGGTGATTTTTCGTGATATTTATAAGGTGCATATGTCTTTTTTTCATGCTCACTTTCGACTACATAATACTGTTCTATCATTAACTATTTTCCTTTTAAATGACAGCAGTTTTTAACTTTCTAGCTTTTTGAAATCATCATTCTTTCTTTTGTATTCTTCAATATAATTTTCTCTCTAAAATGCTGTCCATATTTTACTTTCTGTTAAGTGAAAAAGAAGCAATGGCTTTCTTACAGAGCACAGACTTTTGAATACTGAGCATAGTTGTAAAAATGGCCACAAAACGAAATTATTTAAAAGGAAGTTGTGACCTAATGGCGAAACAAAAGACAAAGATGAATGGATTGCAATCCCTTGGATTCATATTCAGCAGAACATACACGTGGAGAACACATATTTATGTGTCAGCAGTATGCAAGATGACACAATACAGTTGACTCTTTCATGGCAGCAAATGCCAATTATGGCTTCCACAAATGTCATTTCTCCAAAAGTAAATAAACATTATTTTAGGTTACATATACAGTGGCTCCCAAAAGTGTTCGTACACTTATGATTTTCATTGAAATAAGGCTCTATCCATTAATTAAAAGTAAAATTTCTGAATGAGATTTTAATACAGTCAAAAGTCGTTAATTCGGACACCCATAATCCGGAATGATCTATAATCCGGACCTCAAAGCTACAAACTTTCTGCGCATGCGTCGCATTCACGCATGCGCACAGGCGTTTATGAGTGAGCGTAAGACCTTTACGGCTGCGAATATGTTTTTGCGCATGTGCGTTTAATGTGTAACGGACGGTATAATCTAAGCAAAAATTATTTAATTCAGTTAATGTTGCAGATTGCATTGTTCCTTAATCTTCGAATTGGATCCGGCTTATTATTTTTTGCGGACTGTTAGAGCAATTTCATAAAAGTAAGCTTGAACTTTCGATTATGTCAAATAGAATTTCCCATATATATTTACTAATATGTAATTTGTATCTACAAAGTATGTTTTGAAATCCGAAATCTGTTTATCAATTTCACGCGGCGGATTGAAAGTTGATCTGTCAGCAGTATCCTTATCTTCAGGGCAGATGTTTTTATTTCATTTGGCTTATAATTCCTTACTAAGTGTAGTATTTCATCTCGATGTACTCCGTTTTTGATATGATTTAAATCAAGTTCCTCGTCATTATAATTTGCTTCCGATAGTGAAGAAAGTGACCCACAGGTTATTGAAAACGAAAACATTTCGATTGACAAATTAGTCGGTATTCTCAACATAGCAATTATAGGACTTTAACAGCGGAACTTTGTAACTAAACAAGAAATTATGTCTGTTTAATAGAATTAAAGAGAAAGTATTATCACATGAAACGAAACAACTTACATTGAAAGAAATGTTTAATAAAGTAAACAAATAAATATTAAGCTTTTTCTTTTTGTAAATTTTGATATCCTTTAATCATAATTTTAGATCATAATTGTTCTTTATTTCATAAATTACGGTTTCATATTTTTAATTTTGTAATTTCTGCATGCCATCTAATTAGATTTAAACTGATGATCTATAATCCGGAAAAATCGATAATCCGGAATCGCCGAAGTCCCGACGAGTCCGGATTAACGACTTTTGACTGTAATAAGATCTATAATATATTCGTAACAAAATTACATAAAATATTTTTAAAATATAGCGAAACTTTATTTTTAAGAAATTAATAATAAAAAAATGACAAGCATTTTTATCTTACAAAAGTCTTTGTACACAAAAGAAATATTTTGGGATAAAATCAAAATTAGAATTATTCTTTGCCGCTTTTTTTAATTTTGGCATTGTGATGGCATTTAAAAAATTGTTTGCTTTAATTTTTTATTGTTTACTTCATAATATTCTATTTATTATTGAAAAATGTGTTGCAGTCGTAAAGAAATTACAAAGAGCAGCATTCGAAAATTGATAATTTTTCACCATAGTAGTGGTAAATCAATTCGAAATATTGCTAAATTAGTTAATTTATCTCATTCTACAGAGCAGTATGTGATAAAGCTCTTTAAAGAAGAAAATCGGATTGAAAACAAGGTAAGAAAAGGTCGATCGAGAAAGTTAATTAAACGTGATGAGAGATTTGTTATTAGAAAATTTGTGAAAAAACCCACGTTTGAGTGTGCTGTAAAAGTTTTTGCAGAATTTAATGCAAAGTTTTGTACTTCAATTTCACCTCAAACTGTTTGACGAGTTCTCAGAGAAGCTGGATTACATGGGTGTTCTGCCCGTAAGAAATTTTTTATTAGTGAGAAAAACAGAAAGCTTACATTCACAAAATCAATGATAAATACACCCGAAACATACTGTAATAATGTTCTATTTGCTGACGAAAGCAAATTTAACACTTTTGGTTCCGATGGTCGAATAACTGTATGGAGAAGAAAAAATGAGGAACTTCATTCTAAGAACTTAGTTGGAATAGTTAAACATGGCGGTAGAGGTGTTCTTGTGTGGAGGTGCATGGCAGCATAAGGACTAGGTAATTTGGTATTTATTGATGGCATAATGAATCATTCTCTTTATTTAAATATTTTAAAAGACAATTTAAAATTATTAGCCCAAAATTTGGATATTGGAAACAACTTTATTTTTAATTATGATAACGATCCTAAACATACGGCTCTCAACGTTCGCCTAGGGTATCTCTATAACTGTCCACAGATTTTGAAAACACCACCTCAGTCGCCAGATTTAAACCCCATACAACACATTTGGAAAGAACTGGAGGTTAAATTATGAAAACACAACATCAAAACGAAAAGCAAACTCAAAACAGTCATGATGGAAGAATGGATGAATATTGATACAGAAATTAAAAAAAAAAAAGTAAAATCTATTCTCAGATGCTTAAAAGCTGTTGTGGATGCTAAAGGATATCCTACTAAATATTAATTTAATGAAAAATAAAAATATTTACTAATATGTCAAGATTTTTTTTAAATGTACGAAGACTTTTGGAAGATCAAATGTTTGTCATTTTTTTATTATTAATTTCTTAAAAATAAAGTTTCGCTGTATTTTTAAAATATTTCATATAATTTTGTTACCAATAGCTTATAGATCTTATTATTAAAATCTCATTCATGAAGTTTACTTTTAAGTAATGGATAGAGCCTTATTTCAATGAAAATCATAAGTGTACGAACACTTTTGGGAGCCACTGTAAATACATGTGACTAATTGTTAAATAAATAACATTTATTAAGTTCTCATATTGTGATTTTTAATATTTGCCAGATTTCATCAAAGCATTATTGTGGGGCCCGCTTTAACCCTCTGGCTGATCATTCCGCGATTTCCACGGGCAACTCGAATGTAGCAAAACTTGCTCATCCCATGATTTCCGCGGGCATATGTTTTTCTTCCTTTATTCAGGAGCGCATCCCGTTCTTTCCCCGTTTAACTATTGAAATAAATTATATACAGTATTAGGAGTTTAGTTTACGTTTCGGCCAACAGATATCGTTAGTTATCCATTAAACTGCAGCATTTGAAGGCATGTGGTATTAGTTCTCAAACTTCACTTTTTTCTTACAGAAATGGCAGCTAGAAAACGTTCAGCGATTATCTTGATTATTTAATTAAATGATCGAATTATTAATAAGATTTATTGATTAGATTAATAATTATATAATTATTAATTAGATTTATTGAATTTGGTGCAAAGACTGTGAAGTTGGACTTTGCCTTGAACCCTGTTTTGAACTCTATCATACTAAACTGCATTTCTAAGGTATTTTTCCCTCAGCGCTTTATATTTTTCTAAATTTTATATTATGCAATAAATAGAAATTAACTGTAATTCGACAGAACGACAGAAATTCATTAAAAAAAAATTTTTTTTTTTTTTTTTTTTTTTTTTTTTTTTTTTTGTGATAACATCTGAAATTGTTTTTTCCTGGCAACTTAGTTTCTCATGACAAAAATCTATATAAAAAATATTTTCTAGAAAGAAAATGTGCATTTTACAATTCTCCAATATACATAGATTTAAAATATGGAAAATAAAAAAATTTTTTTTTGAAACGATTTCGGTCCACTAATTGAGCAGGCAGAGGGTTAATACTGAGTACCAATACTTCTTTCTAACACCTAGAAAAGTATAAAATATAATAACATGCCGTGTGAGCTATCTTTCATTACATGGTTTCATCAATTCTCTTATCACTAAAATAATTTAACCATAATTTTTTTAAGGGAAGTACTTTTAGCAACAATTTTTTTTAAAGAGAAACAGTATTAAATGAAACAAAAACATTATATATATATATATATATATATATAAGTTCTTCTTTTAGGCTGTCTCATTTAATGAATTAAATAGAATTATTTAACTAAATGATACAAACCTTTCAGATGCTATAGCCCGCTGATGAGCTGTAACTTTCTCTAAGATACTATCAACTTTATAATTTTTTCTGCAATAAAATAAAACATTGATATTTTTAGTTTAAAATTCTAATTTATGGATACACTAAAACTGAATAATTGTGAAGAAACTCCATGCCAATTAAAATTAAACAATTAATACCTTTTAGAATGTGTTCTTGACATGCGATGTTTCATGTAGGTTAAACATCGTGGAAGGAATATTGGCTATTAAAAAAAAAAAAAAAAAAATCAGGCTATGTTATAAAAAATATTTAAATTAAAAAAAAAAAAATCAGTATCAGATTGACAATTTTTGAAATGCACTCCCACAAAACATACATACACACAAATAAATAAATAAAAATAAAAAACCTACTTACTGAATTTATTTGCCTTGTGCCTAGGAATCTATATATCTGAGTAGGTTCTAAAAATAGAAAATGATAATTAATTTTTATTTTAAATAGTTTGGAAACATTTGACATCTTATCAAAAATTAAGGGTTATGTTTTCTAAAACATAATAAAATATTTCATTTGTGACTTTAACCAAATAATACAAATACCTATATATATAACTGTCATGAATTTTACCTTCAAATGGGTATCCTTGCATGCCTAGAAAGATGTAATTTAGAGTTAACAGAAGCAGTATAAATTATATTAGACATTTTCACATTTTAATGCAACACCCTGCTTCAGGACATGAATATTTCTCACATTTCGTATGTATTCACGAATATTTACAAAATGCTTCACACAATTACCTGTTTATTAGATGAATAGAACTAATACTCAATAGTCGAATAGTTATGCAAACTAGATATATATATTCTAAGAAATTTGTGAAGTTCACAAAAAGACAGTTTTGTGAAAGAATTTCTGGATTTCTTATTTGGAAATTGAACAACAAAATTAAATCTTTTGAAGTAAAAAAATTTTTAAAAATATTGCACAATGCAAACTTACCAAAAAAAGGGGGGAGCTTAATTTCTGACAGAAAATATGTTCATGAGTAATAAATTTCTGACAGAAAATATTTTAACGAATGATAAGCTAAACTCAGTGGCATAACAGCCTTAGTGGGCCAAGTCCTGCAGTGCCCCCATATCTGCTTTCTTGACCATGGCTCCGGGGTGCACGAGCATGTGCCCTTGACCAGTGGTCAGTTTGTCGTAAGATCCCCGGTGTTTAGTCCCCAAGCAAACTTGGTACTCATTTTATCAACCCACTCGAGGGATGAAAGGCTGAATCGACCTTGCCCAGCCTGGGGATCGAACCCCGGACCTGTGGTGCTGCTGCGCAACACGGTAGCCACTGCACCACCGGGCTTCTAAATGATAAACTACCTAATAAGATATTATTCAAAGAAACGTTGTATGCAGAAAAATTTGAAATACCTGAAAAATGAGGTAACTGCCAAAGTATAAAATTAAGGGAAATGCAGTGAGATTTTCCTCCTAAGCAGAACAATCATTACTGTTTCCAATCTGTAATAATAATAATAACACTAATTATTCGGAACAACCACAGCAACGCAGTGCTTCCTTAGATTATACATACAATGAGATTTTCTTAAAAACCATGGCTAAAAGTGGACAGTATTTCTCAGAATGCAAATAAACAATGGTATTGAATATTGCTAATAGTCACATTCTCTATAATCACCACCATCACAGAAGAACGAAATTGGTTGGAACCATAGGTTTGGGTCACTACAACATGTCAGCAACTTGAAGGAGGAAAAAAAAAAAAAAAAGGATAGAGAGAACTAAACATTATTAATTTTTTGAAATACTTCAAAATCCTCCCCTCTCCAAAGGACAAGTCTTAAGATAAAATCTTGTCACTTTAAATAGCAAAATTTACAAACATTAGTAATCATTTTAGGTTTTTATCAAAATACATCCATTAAAATTTTTAAATAAGAATCATTTTACACTTATAGTATACAGACAAAATGAGTAAATCCAAAAAATATGTTGCATTTCACACTTGCAGTACAGGCACATTATCTGCTACATAGCGGACATAATGGGGAAAGTATTATAATTTCTCAACAGCTGTCAACACGTGCCCAATGTACATTCTGAGAGAGGCAATGTCAGACTTGACAGACTCACAAACAGGCTTGACATGCATTCAGCTGTAGCCTTGGTTTTAGAAACAGTAAAATGTAAGGTGCATGGTATCAGCCATTACAAAAGCAAACATGAAAGACAATGAGATGGTTTCTTCAACGGGCAACACTGGACAAAAGGCAAAGCAAACTAATATGAATAGAGGAATGATGAAGTGCAGTGTGACCTAAAAGCATAAGCAATCTGCATCCTAGATGATGTCTGAAAGGAACACTTATCTTCAGAACAAAATCTAAAACTATCAAAAGCTAATTCCGTGCTGTGAACATTCATAGCAGAAAGGCAATTTGTATGCAACTAAGTGACATCATATAATGTTTCCAAGCAATGCCACAATGGTGCAGAGCTTGCTAAAACCCCACAGCAATGGCAACAAGTCATCTAGTCTTATAAGTCAGCATACATCCTACTTCAGATTCCCCGATGTGTCTAGGTCTGCAGAATAAATCCAGAGCTTTTCTGACTTTTGCTGACTGAGAAGCATGAAGGTTGCTTCCTATTGGTATGAGATGTGATATCTTGGGCCACTTATTAGTCTGCATGTGAAGGTCAAAGCCAATCACTATTGAAGCATCCAGGCAGATCAAGTCCATACGTTATTCCCTGGAGATCAACCACTTTTTCAAGATGTCTGTGCCCCTATCAACAAAGCTTAGGTATGTTCCAAGCACAAATCAAGAGAGCATAACAATGAAGTAGAACATCTCCGGCCTCTTCATTACCTTGAACTTTATTTAACATTTATAAGAATATCTGGAATCTAAACTTGAACTCCAGCTACAATTTCAGAAATAGAAACTGATCTGCAAAAGGAATAGTTTCATATTCTCTTAAATGTTGTGCAAGACATCTATGCCTGCATTCCAAGTTCATAAAATGTGTACATCAATCAAAGGCTAATCTAATTCCTTTTTAATAAAGATTCTTCCTTTGTTTCATAGGTTTTCATAATATTTTGTACACCATTTGCACATTCCAATTTATAAAAACATTTGGAAAAGTATATAAATTTGGCCAAAAATTAGAAATTTTGGATGATGAAATTTTTTAACCATTTTCTGATACATCAAAGAGGAAAGAAATGAAGGTTTCAGTTAAAACTGTTTGCAAAATGTAAGCAATGTAATAATTAACAAAAGACAAGAAATTAAACATAAATTGAGCACAAATAAGCTGAACTAAGTTGGGGCGGGGAGAATTAAACTGCAGTTTCGTTACAGTCCAGTACAACTTTATCAAAGTGCTGCTATTATGGCAAAAGCAGCAGAGGTTGTAATGCCTTACACAGAAGCTAGAGCGTTTGACTGAAAGAAGATAGGTGGGCCTGAGAACAAAGTTTTCCATGCCGATAGGAATTAAGTTATGAAAATTTTTAGAAGTTTCTAAGAAATCCAAATTTAGGGGTCAATTAGCATCAGTTATAATGACTTCTAAATATCATTAATATCTTAGTTTCTATTCCATTTCTGTGGGAGGCATGAAAAACCTTTTTTAAGTTCCACCCCTATTTTTTCAATCAAGCACTTAAACTTCTGTGTGAGACATTAGAACTTCTGCTGCATTCACAGTAATAGCAATGTTTTGATAAAGCTAGTAAAATAAGTTTGCAGTCAATGAACTTTTAATTTTTTTGCTTATTTTTAAATTTATCTTTACTTTGCTTACCATTAAGCTACAATTTTCTTCAAGACACAAAACTATTCTTAATCTAAAAACACAGATAGCACAGAACAATGCTTATTTTTAAATTAATACTCTTTACTTTGCTTACCATTAAGCTACATATTTTCTTCAAAACACAAAACTATTCTTAATCCAAAAACACAGATAGCACAGAACAAATACCTTTCAAACTTGTAATGATTTTAGAAGGTAAAAGAAATTCGTAAAGCTAACATATTATTTTTACATAAGAAGGCAGTAAATAAAATAAACACTTTAAAAAGTCAAAACATTTATTAAGAATTTTTTTTTATGCACAAGTATTATAACTACCGTATATACCCGCGTATAAGTCGACCCCCCCACTTCGGCATAAAAAATTCGTAGAAAATAAGAAACCCGCGTATAAGTCGACCCCTACTTCCGAAATCGATCAAGAAACTTCGAAAATTCTTTTTTAAGTGTTACATTTAGTCAAAATCATCTGAGAAAAAAAAAGTAAATATACGATAAAAAATACCTTGGTAAATAAACAAAATCAAGATCCTTCAACGTCCGATTCACGGTCAGATTCGCCAAACATTTCATAGAACTCTTCTGTCCTCATTGGCTCGTCATCATACATATTTTCAGTCTCGAACTCTTTATTGTTACAATCACTACTAGAGCCTATATATCCAACATATCCAAAACAGGATAATTGGGGAAAACGATTGTATATAGTAACCTTCTAGAATTTGTCCCGGAAAAGATTCGCGTACGTAAAATCTATCTGCATTTTTCCTTTTTAAAAGTTAAAAGAAATATTCAAAACTGTTCAGTTATTGCGTGGGCTATTTTTGTAAATTTTGACGTGTACGCCTGTTAACAAAAGTATTTCATGAATGAACAATAACTATTATAAAGACTTATACATACGTGAAAACTATCTGCATTTCTCTTTTCTTGGCGTGTTGGCGAAACTTTTTTATTGCTCGATATTGATCGGTTGTTCGGTGGGCCGAAATTTCTTTGGTTTAATCGAAACTTACTCTAGTTAAAATATGAAACTCTGTGATTAGTTCATCACATAATTCAAGTCATGAAATTACTTCAAGTAAGTGACTTATTTGATAAGTCGTCCAATTTGAGTGCGGGAAGAAAACAACTGCATTATACAAAGAAAGTTTTGAACTTCCGATTCTTTTAACTTTTATGGCCCCGCATATAAGTCGACCCCCCACTTTAAAGTATTTTTTTTGTCCAAAATATCTCGACTTATACACGGGTATATACGGTACTTATTCACTAGAGGGCTTCTAATCCATCTTTGCTACATTCCAAACTCAGAACGACTTCTTCCCCTAATAACCTATTACAGGGGTGGCCAAGTTCCTTGATAGTCCGAGCCATTTTTCAAAATTTGAAATATTTCGCAAGCCTCAATTAAATACATATTTAAAAGGTATGCAAAAAAGGTATTAATTTTTTTTTACAGAAAGTATATTTATTGAAAACATATAAATAAAAGTCCAAAATATGTGTATTGAATTTAAATATTAAAAAAAAAAAAAAAAAAAACACATTTATTTTACTTCTCTCGATAATTCTTTAAAATTTGGTGAATAATTGGTGAAAGCACTTCTC